ACCCAAGGCAGGGCCAATTTTGACCCCAGGGCTTTATTTGAACAAATTTGGTAGACACTCATTAGAAGATGTTTCATGCCAAATATCTTAGCTTTAGCTACAAGACGATATTTAAAGTTTTTTCTTTCAGTTGCCATGGCAACCAGAGTTCTGCATGGAATTAAATTCTTTAAACAATTTTTAAAGGTGACCACCAAAGGAACATTCCTGTGAAGTTTGGATGAAATTGGCTTAGTGGTTTATGAGGAGATGTCATTTAAAGTAAAAGTTTACGGACGGACGGATGGACGCTGGACGAAAAGCGATCACAAAAGCTCACCCCGTGAACTAACAAAGAAGTAAACAGATTATGACTAAAATTCATTTTAAAACAAGAGCTGTCACAGGAGACAGCAAAGCTCGACTAATAAAATACTGGACGCAGTAAGGAGGACAAAACTATGAAAGAAAAATCCATTATGTATAATTATGTATTAAGTTATAGAAAAAAACAACAACATTTGTTAACATTAATTCCAAGATCAAGGGGAATAATTCTAGAAATAGTCATGCTAGAGTTATGGACCTTGTCACACAACATTTGTGTAATGATAAGAAATATATATTTGAAGTTTGAAGTAGATACCTAAAAAGTAAAGAAGTTATTATATTCTTAAAGAAAATCCTAAGTTCAAAGACAGATAAATCTGTAAATATTGCTTCAAGAGTTATGAACATTGTCACATAAAATGTAATTGATGATAAGGAATAAGTATTAGAAGTTTGAGGTAGATACTTTAAAAAATAAAAAAGTTATAATAAAAAAATAACATTTTTCTAGTAAAAAAATCTAAGTTTATGGAGAGATAATTCTTGCAATATTGGTGCTAGAGTTATGAACCTTGTCACATAAGATGTGGATGATGATAACGTAAATATATTTGAAGTATGAAGTTGATCCCTTTAGAAATAAATAAGTAACAGTAAAAAATAATATTTTTTATGGAAAATTCTAAGTTCAAAGGGAGATAAATCAAAAAATATTGGTGCTAGAGTTATGAACCTTGTCACATAAGATGGGGATGATGATAACGTAAATATATTTGAAGTATGAGGTTGATCCCTTAAGAAATAAAGAAGAAACAGTAAGAAATAGTATTTTTTGAGAAAAATTCTAAGTTCAAGGGGAGATAAATCTGAAAATATTGGTGCTAGAGTTATGAACCTTGTCACATAAGATGGGGATGATGATAAGGTACATATATTTGAAGTATGAGGTTGATCCCTTAAGAAATAAAGAAGTAACAGTCAAAAATAGTATTTTTTAAGGAAAATTCTAAGTTCAAGAGGAGATAAATCTGAAAATATTGGTGCTATAGTTATGAACCTTGTCACATAAGATGTGGTTGATGATAAGGAACATATATTTGAAGTTTGAAGTTGATACCTTAAGAAATGACAAAGTTATAGTGAAAAATATTTAACTGCACCAAAACTTTAATCTAAAATCTGGACGCGGACACGGACGCCGACGCCGGGGCGAGTAGGACAGCTATCCATATACTTCCTAAAGTCGAGCTAAAAAAACACACAAAAACAAGCACTCTAACAGTGCATTAGTAACTTAAACTCTAAATGAAGAAAAATACCCCCCCCCCCCCCAAAAAAAAAAAAACAACAACAAACAAACAAAACAGCCCACAACAACAACAAACCTTTGCTGGAATAGCAGGTCAGCTCTGTATTCAACAGAACTGTCATCCCTGTGTTTAGCTGCTACAGACAATTCTACTGTATCTTTACTTGTCTTTGATTTCATAGATTTACCATACTTCAAGTTACAGTCTAGGTTGGTTTTATATCTGTTAGTGACATAGTTCACAGCCAGTGCAGCATCCATGTCATCATTTTTAACTGAGTTTAGATTGCTGTAAGTAATTATAACATTCGTATATTATATACACTGAAATCTTTTATATCAAAACTAGACTTGAATCTTTAAAAACTGGCAATTTTGTATGTGTATTATGATTTTCTGAATATACACGGTTGTCCATTATTGGACAGGTTTTCCATATGAAAATAAGCTTTTGATCACAGGAACTAGAACTATCACTGAATGAGATAAAAAACCTGTAAAGCACCTTTTATTCCTTTAACAAGAGCCACCACAAACAGGGGCCAAACCTGACTTTTTTATCAAATGCAAAAAAAACATTGAAAGAGAACTTTATGAACATAGGTCAAGGTCTTATTTTGTATTTAGGTTTAATAATATCTTATTGCATATATGAAGGATACTGAATAACTGTAGGTTCAATACTCTTTAATATTCTATATAGCACATAGGCCTACCCAAGATAAAGACTATTTAAAGTGTAAAAGAATCATTTTTCATTGACGCCTCTATAGTGTAACCCTAACATTAACATGGGTGAAAGTTGGAAATTTTTTAAATCCTGAATTTAGCAGTTTTTCTTAAGTTTCACACAGGAAACAGGAGGCTTTCAGGAGATTGAAAATCCTGAACTCCAGGAATAATCCTGAAAACTTTCACCCATGCATTAAGCATAAATGGCTACGTTTTACAGATTAAAATGGAATTTTATATTTGTCCTTGAAGGTCAAGGACAATAAACAGTCATGGTCATATTTAAGTTATGTCACACAAAGATTTTGTCGAAAACAAAGTACTATCACATATTTATTTGTTGAACAATTATATGACACGTGAACCATTATGTAAAAAAAAATATTACCTTGTTATTTTGACAGTTTTTTTATTTTTGGCAATATTTATCTTGACCCGGTTATTCCCCATTATGGTATCTCTCCATTGCTTGCCAATACTGTAGTCCAGCCGGTATTTAGTGAAAATGTTTTTGTCTGCCTTATTATCATGATTAATCATAAGTTTAGTGGAGAGTCTAGGACCTGTTACTGACACTCGCGCAAGAGTCTTAACTCTCTTCTTCTTTGTATATTCCGTTCTAGAAAGATCCACTGAAATTATAACATAACATCTCTATTAGCAATAAAGATTCGCTGAAATTATAACATAAAATCTTGATATGGAATAAAGATCTGTCAAAATTATAACATAGCATCGTGACATGGAATAAAAATCTACTGAAATCAATAGGATATCTATTATATGTTACTTAATATGGAACATACATTTACTAAAAGCCAAGTTAACAAGAACTTAAAAATTGACTTCACAATTCCTTAATTTTGATTTTTTAACAAACCAAAAATGATAAGCCTTGGCACCAGACAATCATAAACATTTGACCAGACTCTACTGTTGGAGGTTTCATTTTCGTATTTTGTTATTGTAATCCTTTCAACGTTGAATGAACTGTTCCGGATTTATAGCTGGATAACTTAATTACAAAAATTCAGATGTTTAAGGGGTATAACATTACATTACTATAGGACAGTTCCATAAAGTTGATAACTATTTTTTAGAGAAAACACATCAGCTAAGTTAAAGTTGAAAATATTTTTAAATATAGATTTTACATTAAACAATTTATGTTATTAATCTCATCTAGAGCATATGCTCTATAGGAAGAATATTAAAGAAATTATAAAATCTGCATGATAAACAGTAAAATCTTACCATTAAACTTGTACGGTACTTTTGTCAATTTATTCAATGATCCAGAGGCCTTGAAGGACTTTCCTGATATCAAAATAGCACTTCCATTGAACTCCAGCAGTTCTTCATCAGGTGTTCTCACATATACCCTTGGCTCATATGTGTAACGGGACCTCAATTTCTTCTTCTCAATTTTCTGATTTGTAATGGCTTCAAACACATAGCCCTCCCCTTTCTGATACTTTAGTTTGCTTTTCATACCAATCATCGTCTCAGTGTTTAAAATTGAAGCTAGAAATAAAATAACATAATGACATAAGGAAACAGACATCATATGACCAAAGTACAAATACCTTAAAAGATACATAACTAAGTTTTAAGAGACTGAAACTTATTACCACTCTTAATTTATTTATAAAGAAGTAGACTAAGTAAAAAAATAAAACCTTTAGTAACTCAAGCTACCATTCAGGTAAGAAATATCTTTATTGACTTATTATGGATGTATAGCCTTATAGACAAATAATGAAAAATTTATTGTCAGTTATTTTAGAATATATGTAATCAGGAATTAACAACTGATTAAGAAGAGAGATGACCAAGTTGTGAAAGTGTCTGCCTCTTAACTAAGGAGTGAGAGTTATATATTTTAATTTAAAAATCTGAAAATCATATTTTTATTTTTCTTTGAGGAAAGAAAAAGAAGCTTTTTTTTGGAGTCTGAAATCCTGATACCTTTCACCAATAAGTGTTGAGTCAATTACAGAATCATGACTACGGTGAACGTATATGATACCAGTACTGGTTAGTACCAGAAAGTGGACCAATGAATAGGCCAAATAAGTTTCTAGCTTTCAGCGTAATTCTGTTACTATAACTATGATTAAATGAAACTGATTAAAGTCTAACCCTGAATCTCTATTGGTACATCCTGAGCTCCAGTAATAAGAAGATCAGCATCTAATGATTGCTTGAGTTTATAGCTGATCCCACCAGTCAGGGAAACATTCTTCCAGTCATGTATATCCAGAGATATTTTTGGTGTATAAGTCACACGGTCCTTGGTTCTGTCAATTAAAATCTTGGCATCGAGGTTGTAAACACGATGACCTTCGTCTATGCTGATTTTACCCAAAAGTCCTTTTACGTTTGATGTGTCAATCAGCTCACCTAAATAAATATTTAAAAACTCATAAATATAATAATATAACTTGTTTATTCATTCAAATTTCATTACAGTTTATTTTCATAAGAATGAATGGAAAACCTTATTATAACATAAATTGCAAAACAAGAAAGGAACATTGGGCATTTTTAATGCAGTTTAGAATTTTTTTATCAGATCATGACATCTTTTTAGTAACCATAGTATGTTTAGGAGATTTTAAACATTTTCTTCAAATCACTAGCGACAATGATTTAAGAGAAGAGCTGTTTTCCTTTTGCAAATACTTTGAAACTTTTGCAAAACTTGAATAAACTGTGACATCTAACACCTTCATATGAAGACAGAAAAGATATGATTGATTTCTGCCATTTAATAAACATTTCTGTAAAAATATTCTGTCTTGATCAGGCCTATCATGTACATGTAGTCTGATCAAGGCAGACTTAATGCTTCAATTTTGAGATGGTAATCTTTAAAGACAGACATTCAGTCAAGACTGTAATATGTGACTTTCCAATGGACCTTTAGCAATAGTTTAAATCAGACAAAGCAATGCACTGGGACCAGACAATTAAGGTTGCTTGTCACATATAACAGCGAGTTGTATGATCCAGACCATTTATATTGGGAAACATGTTGGGAGGACTGAAACAAGGTTGTATAAGACAGAGAGTCGTTGAAATCATACCATTAACGGCAGCTTTTTTCCATGGTGATACAAACATAATATCTAATGTTTTCTTTGAGTGTTTTACGTCAACATCTAGACCTATTGCACGATCAAACTGGGAGCCCGGTGTGTTTGTCATAAACCGGAATAATGTCTGAAGTGGTGTCTGAAAACATGACATTAAAATTTGATAAATACATATATAAAAATAACTTCAGAATTGAAATGTACAAGAACCTTATTACATATTCTGTTCTATATCCAATGATATAGTAGTGTTTTTATATGGGCATAACTTTTAAAAGATAAGTCAATATTTGTATTTCTTTACAGTAGCGTTACCTTTATTGTCTTGACTTCAAGTTTATAGCCATTAGGCAAGTCCTTTTTGTTCATAGTCACCGTAAAACTGACTGGTCCAGTTAGAGGGAAGTTTGGAGCATCTGACTTTAACTTGGTATCTCTTGTTAAATAACTTGAACATAGCTCAATACCTGAAATATTTGACATATATTATCAATTTATATATAAAGGAAAGAGGACTGTGAAAAGTGAAAATTTTATGTAGAAGTCAGAAATATTTATGACAAGAAGGCATTAACGGCAATGTAACAAGTTCACAGAACTGAACATTTATTTCATTTTGGACATGAGTATAAAGTAAGCAGATTATACATGTACAAATGATGAAGAAAAAAAATCCAGATTTATGTATCCAAAATGTAAGTCCCAAACATTGCATTGCAAGTATTTATTTCCTTAACAAGAAGTTGGAGCTCACCAGTAGCTTTAAGCATCCTAACTCCGGTACAAGACACCTTCTCCTCCTGACCAGATCCTGCCAGCAACATTTTCTGTTCCTTCATTTTATCATTGTAAACCACATAAAATGTTGATCTGCCATAAAAAATAGAATCTTCAAAATCCAACCTTTATAATTATGATGAATTTTCATTGACTATAAATATATAGTAGTGCAAACATGTATTCATAGTACATTGTAAAATATTTATATACATGTATATTTTAAACTTCATATTCTCTCCTAACCAGAGTTTTTTCTTCTCCCTCTACACATTTTATTTAAATCAGGACAAAGGTTAGTCAAAGATACATGTCAGAGCCTATGTCTGTACACAGCCTCTACTTTAAGAAAACATCTCAGCTTTTTCATTCAAAGAATATGGCTATGGTGGTTTCAAAATAAATTGACAAGAATGTTTCAAGACTAAATGTCAAAAAAAAAAATCAAGCATCTATTACCACCTTACTACAGACAGCGTTGATTGTAACATAATTGAGTGACTAGATGAATTCTAGAATAGAAAACTGATCTTACTTGACATCCACTATTTCGCTCTTTTCCTTGGTGATGTCAAATGAGAGATCGAAGACGTTACCTCCAGTAATTTCGATCTTGCCGCGTGCCCCTGTGCTGGTATATAGTGATGACACCATCTTGAGACCCCCACGTGTAACTACGGCATCAATGCTCATCATAGAATCAATCTTGACTGATCCGCTGTAAATCAGATAAACTTTCATATTATTTTGTAAATATTTTCGAATATACATGTATAATTATGATTACAGTAACGTAAACTTACAAGCAATAGAAAGCAAGCATTAAATTAATTGGCAGCAAAATAATCAGGTCTACAAGCCAGCACCTCTATTAGAAGCACCAGCAGGGTACATGTATGCATGTGACCTTAGATCTGGAGTCTGGAAATAGTCCACAAGCAACAATAAGCAATATTGTCATGTCTATAAGAAGATGTGTAGTGTGTGCATGAATGCTGTGAGAGGACATAGCAGATATAAACAGTCAACTTGAACAGGTTATTTTGTAAATTTTGAATTGGGGAGTATCCATCATGGATGAAAATATCAGTTTTTAGTGTCTGATTCATTCCATTTGTGGAAATTAGATAATGAAATTTTATCTTATCAAAATAGAAAGTAATTGTTTAATACAGAATGAAAATTTATGAATCCTGTTTTTTGTGTAAACTTTCTTTTGCTTGAAAGTGTACATTTGTCTAATTCAGTAATAAATGTTTTTACCCTTTTCATATTGCATTAATACCAAAGGCATAGCAGACTGGGGTTTCCGTGAGTTTTACCCATGCCGGAAGTTTCATCTGGCATGGGGGGTGCCAGATGAGTCGCGTGCCAAACAACAACGTCATTTTAGCGCACTTTATGAATGAACAGCGTTAAAATGACGTTGTTTTAGAAGGGAAATATGTCTTAGGATGACGTCATTTCCCCGTTGTTATTTAAGTTGTAAGTTCATACGCTATTGTAAGAAAATAGTTATGGATGAAATGATTTTAATTTCCATGAACATATATCATATTGAGGTAAACCATTTTAAATATGAAATAATATGGCAGAATATGCAAGAAAAAATATCTTTCATATGTTTGCGGTTCGGATCGGAATATCCGTCCCTCGGGAACCCGCCCATGGGACCATTTTAGTTATGAAACTTGACCTGCATATCTTACTTGCGACACTTTCAATAAGTTTCAAATGATAATCTGTTCTAGTTTTAGAAATATTCAAGTACATGTCAAAATTTAAGAACATTTTCTAAGTCAATTTTTGACCTTCAAGTGTGGCCTTGACCTTAAGCTGGCACAAGAGTAAGATGGGTTCTGCACATTGCCCAGTTGGGGTGAACATTTGAGTCAAGTTTGAAGAAAATCCTTCCATTAGTATAGAATTTATAGAGCGGACACGACATATTGTCTAGTATTGATTGTATGCAAATTTAAAGACTTAAAAATGGGCAAAACTTTGTCAAAATGCAATACAGAGTTATGAAACTTGACCTGCATATCTTACTTGTAACACCTCATATATCTTTTAAGTTTCAAGCAAATACCTGTGCTAGTTTCAGAAATATTCAAGTACATGTAAAAAATTTAAGAACATTTTCTAAGTCAATTTTTGACCTTCAAGTGTGACCTTGACCTTAAGCTGGCACAGGTGAACAATTGAGTAAAAGTTGAAGAAAATTCTTCCATTAGTATAGGATTTATAGAGCGGACACGACATACTGTCTAATATTTGATTGTATGTAAATTTGAAGACTTAAAAAGGGGCATAACTTTGTCAAAATGCAATACAGAGTTATGAAACTTGACCTGCATATCTTAATTGTGACACTTCATACATATTTCAAGTTTCAAGCAAATACCTTTTCTAGTTTCAGAAATATTCAAATACATAATTTAAGAATATTTTCTAAGTCAATTTTTGACCTTCAAGTGTGACCGCGACCTTAAGCCGGCAAAAGGGTAACATGGGTTCTGCACATCCCCTTGTTGAGGTGAAAATTTGAGCTAAGATTAAAGAAAATCTTTCAATTAGTTTAGGACTTACAGAACAGACACAACATACTGTCTAATATTTGACTGTTTGATATTTGACCTTCAATTGTGACCTTGAGCTGACACATGGGCAATATGGGTTCTGCACATCCCCTTGTTGAGGTGAACATTTGAGCCAAGTTTGAAGAAAATCTGTCAATTGGTATAGGATTTATAGAGCGGACACGATAATGGAGACGGACGTACGGACAGACGCGACAAAGCGAATCCATTATAGCCCCCCCACATTTTGTGGTGGGGGTATAAAATTATACTATAGCAAGATCACAGGATAAAAAATCTTTACCTTGGTTCAAAGTTTCCTTCAATAACAACACTTTGTCTTGGATTCTTTATATTTGCCAGCCCACCTACATTCAAGGCAACAGTAGCTGAGCCATTAACCTGTAGTTTAAGTGGAAGACCTACAACTGTAGGTACTGTGTAAGTGCTGTCCACAAACATTACATTTCGTGTCATTGCCAATTCCTGTTTTTCATTATTTCTTAACTTTTGTAGGAAATCAAAGAGTTGGGACCCAGAAAACTTGTCATTATCAACACCATTGTTAGCACCAAACATCATGTATGATACTTCACTGCCAAACATTCTCATGTACATAGCTCCACGTAATTCATCCATTGTTCTTTTTGCCTACAAATATTTTATAAAATATAATATCTATTCTTTAAGCAGGAAGGACAGGACAGGCTTATCTCTTAAGGATAATCCTAGGACAGTATTCACAGCAGACTCTATATTCACAATCTTATTATCTCAGAAATGAAAATGTTTCTGTTAACATTCATTGCAGTTTAAGTTAACAACATTTATTATCTTTGTCCAGGTAAAAAAGATTTTGTTTCTTCAAATCTTAAAAGATTTGAGCAAGTGTAACAAATTTAATTGGAAGTGAACATGTCCAAAATTTCTGCTAGAAAACCTTACAATTACACACAACTAAAAACATAATGAAAAACAAAAACAGATGAAAAATATATATTAACAAACAAACCTTGTCCCGAATGTCATTCATCTTTTTATTACTGAGTCCAGCGAGTCTTGGATTAGCTTCTGGAATCTCGTTGCTGCCTTTACTGTCATCATTATAATATCCTACAGGACCAAAATATGACTCGAGGAGTGATTCAAGACCCTCAACACGTCCTCCGATCTCAAACAGGTTCATGGATTCACCGAACAAGTTCATGGTCAGGTTAAGGCTGGCAGATCTTGGTACAAATGATTTACTAGACCAAATTAGATTACTGTCAATCTGTAAATCAATTTATAACAATTATACATGTACATTAAAAGTAATTGTTTTCATTGATGTATTTATATAAATAATATTTATTGGATAATATGTTTCTTCAGTACATACATACAATATTTAAATATATATTCAATTAAATATATACGTGCAATGAAGGCAATCATTATTGAGTCCATTACCATTGATTTAGAGACAAACTCCTAGGCCACAAGATCATATCTCCTGTTTAAAAATTCATATTCAACATTTGGTAACTCTGTCACATAACTGTTGTAGTACAGGTTTCATGATTGAAGGCAAACATTTTCAAATTATATATTTCACTTATCACCTTCTAAATTTCACTGAATAAAATGCTATAACTTATGATGACACAGCCTTAATCTTAGTATTCTTAGTATTATCTGAGTCAAGAGATTTTAGTTTAAATGTCATGATATACATAAGCAATAATCATTTATAAACAAGCTATTTAAACATAAATTGAAATAGACAGGTTTTTCTTATAAAATCCAAACATTGAACAAGTTATCTTTGATATGATGTGGTTCACTCTTTGACTAACTTTATCTTACCATAGCACCAGTGTTGTATTTCTCCAAGTAGAATGAGCCCTCATAATTTCTGGAAAACTTCATCTTATCAAGGTCAAATTTCTCCTCAAACTCAGCATCATCCAGCAATTCCTGGACATACTTGTTGCTAGGATCTGAGCTCTCTATCAGATTAGTCAGGTGTGACCATACAAACGAACCAACCTGTTTAACATATAATGTGGACCGAGTGAGACAAAAAACTAGAACTGTGTCCAAAGGACACGGATGCCCTCACTGTGCAGATTTGCTCGTAAACAAGAGCATGCATATCTGTATGTAAGATTTTCATGTGGAACTTTTTATTAAAATCTGCCATCCGGTTTAAGAGGAGTTGCTTTCACAAGATTTCGGGACATACGAATAGACGTACGGATGGACGGACAAGGGCAACGCTATATGCTCCCCACTTTGTGGGGGCATAAAAAGATTGGATCACCACACTAAATAGTGTATTCCAGTATATACCAGACAAGGCACTTGAATGATTAAATGCTAAAATCTCGCCTTTTCACCCAACGGAATGGACTTTAAAATAATTCTTCACTATATATTCATCTCTTCACACCAATTTATATACGATAATGAATGTAAAATATAAGAATTGGCAAAAAATTCAATATTTGACTATTTTGTGATCATGATTTCTGCAAGCTTCTAGATGTATAGCTCCAACACTGTATTGAGTTAAATCCATATATTATACACTAAAATCATCAGATTGGGCAAATGGGGATAAATCTGAATAAAACAAATAATAATAATTCATTTTCAGGTAATAAAATCTGTAATAGAGTTATTTCTATCTAATCAACTAACCTGGTTGACTTCCTCTGAAGCAAGAGTGTCTTGAACCTGTGAGATGACATAGGGGGACGGACACTTCATTACAGCGAGATAAGCATTGATACGTATCTCAGAGTCAGCAGATGTGTCTCGATAAATTCCCATTAAATTGTTTCTCTAAAAAATAAACATGAACACATCAGTAAAGAAAAGCGCTTATCCTGAAATGTTCATTTTAAAACTGAAATTTCCTGTTTATTTCTGTGTCATCACCTGTAATAAATTGTCTCAGGAAATAAAGAATAGTTAATCTATAACTCTCAAAACAATCAATTTGTATTAATAAATGAACTTATCATTAATAAAATGGAAAAATTGAACAGTGCTTAATCCTTACTGCCATGAGGTGTGAAAGTTAAAGTTAAACTGTATAGGATAGTTCACTGAATGACTATATTGAAACTACTTTGCTAAATGCCTATATTATGAATTAATCTTTTTAAGGTAAACACCTTACATTGCTATCATGACTTTCTAGCTTTAAAACTGGTTGCAGACATTAAATATTTCAGACAAAAACTGTACTGGAACTGTTGATCTTTCCAGATATGATATAACAAATAATGTTATTGAAATTTAAAATACAACATTTATTTCTTGTTTTCAGGACTATGATTCTTCAAATTTTGTGGACACGAAGCTCATCTGATAGGATTAATTTATTCACTGACAAACATATGTCAGACAGACTTACGTCAGAAGCACAAGACAACTTTCTAAAAGCTTGAATAGCTGCAATCTTGATGTCCATGGAGTTATCTCCCTCTATACAAGAGTATAAAGATGGTACTGCCGTTTCAGCATGACCCGTGTTTCCTATTGCCCTCAAAGTCATCATGATCTAAAATACATATGATATAATCTCATTCAAATTACTCATCATATTAATATACGCTGATATTACCAGATGTATCACATAAGTAAAAATACTTGTTTGCTTCACTTAATTATGAGAAACAAAGAAACATTAATTTTTTAAGTATAATTTTTTACACTATTTCCTTATCAACTGGTTAGTTGGAGGAAAAATGTAAAGTTTGAAAAGTTCAATTGTATGTGAAATACTTGTAAATCTTTAGATGAACTTTATAGTTTCCTTGAATTTTACCACAAACTTCAGTGCTGGTAAGTGGTGACTTTGTTTACAACATATGTATCTGTATTATAAAAGTGCATCCTTGACAACGCAGCATCTTAATTGACTGTTTTACTTGGTAATATAACATGACTCAGTTGTTGTCTCTATATAATATTTGTTCATGCAATATCTCGGTGAACACTGCCTGCTATGTCATTTTAAATCGCAAGGAAGAAAAAAAATGCATTTTCTATATGCTTAATACTTCATTTGTATCAATATGTTTATTAGAAAACATGTTGATACAAATTAAGAAGCCAATTATATCAAAATTGCAATACACCGATCAAGTATGAAATCATATTAAAAGTTAGATCAACCAAATTTTAATATCATTACCCTTAAAAATAATAAATAATAGAATAATACTATTTACCTTCTTAAAATTTTTCTGATCAACTTGGCACCCTCCATCTATGTTTCTACTCAGAATGTCAATAAAATCCTGTATCTCCTGTACTTGTTCACATGATGGCGTCACCTGGCAGTAAGACTGTACCATTGCTGATAAGGGCAACAACACTTTGTATGATAGGGAAGGTAGGCCAGTCAGTTCCTGAAATACAAGCAGCAACGGCCACATCAACTTTTGTCCAGTCAAATCTATTCCACATGGAATTTGATCTATTCGTCATAGGGATTTCGGAAAAAAGTTGTCAACATTATGTAACAAATATTATTAAAACTGTTGCACTTATATTCAACGTAGTACTTGTAAAATGATTAAGTGTACCCCTGAAATAGCTGGAATAGCCTAAAATATTCTTAATTCTAGAGTAAATATATTGTTAACTTCTTTGCACTCATTGCTTAATAATCACAAAATCAAAATTTCTTATCTTGCCTGAACATATTTGATCATCTGTTTTGTGGGGTGTTGAACAAATGCGATGGATGCGAGCCAGATATCAGCTTGAGATCCTGTGATATCATTGTTTGATATCAGTGTTTTCATCAACTCTATAGAGGATTCTGTACCAACCATTGGAATAGCATCAATATAAAACCTCCTGAAACAATATTATACCAATCCATATATAAGAACATATACATTTATTATAATATGCAATATAATATACATTAAGGTATAGTCAGGTAAAATATATTACATAAACTCATAACCTGCTGCAACAGAAAGTTATCAACCTTTACCACGAGAATAAACAGTTCATTACAGTCTGACCATACTCTATATTGCTGGCTGACCACCTTTAAATTTTCATCTTGATATCCCCAAAATTCATAATATAGTTCAGTATGACCAGTTCCAAAAAATGGAAGCTGGACATTTAAGACATTCAGCAGGTTAAGGGTTAAAATAATAGAGAAATATATACAATTGTTAAAAATATATCATAATACTTTAATACAGTTCATATCAACACAGACTTCTGCATAGCCTTAATTAGACATTCACGCTTATAAGGGCGAATTGAAGTACCGGCATACTATGCTCTTTACTTATTCGTTCATTTTATTGAATAGTGATTTAGCTGTATTCAACTTTGAAAACATGACATGCATCTCAGGCTTCAAATATAATTTTGAAGCATGAAAAAAGAAGTTAATAAATAAAGAAGTTCTCTATTTTAATCAATTCAATACATTTTAGATATGCCTCACATATTATGAGTAACTATAATTTAAATTAAACCAGTTCCTAGACATTGAAATACTGACTTAATTATTAAAATTATCATCTTAAATGTTGACTTATCAAAGTTTGGATGAGTTTTTTTTTTTAAATGCAATAATATACTTTCCTTGAATGGATAAAATTAATATAATGAACCAAATTCTGACCCTGAAATGACCTAGATATTATACAGTTCCTAACACTAAGTTATTTCAAGTACTATGATATAGAAGTAAATAGGTACAGGACACTGATAGAGAAGATTGGACCACTTTTAATCAGCCCTTCAACTGATGCAAATGTGACCTTGACTGATATGTCAGCTGAGAAAAAAGTGACCCAGTATCCAAATTGTAATATTTAATAGCCATTATCATTTAATTTGTGGCCAACATTATAACCAAACTCATCATGTAAAATATGGAAATAATATATACATATATACATAATAATTAATATACAATTACATGTACATAATATTCATATACAAAATAATGAAAGTTACAGTTAATTACTTTATTATTTATATGAAAATTAATCTTTACATTATAAAGAAACTAAATGCATGTTGACACATTTACAGTACCACCTCTGTTGATGAGAGGTGATGCTGTAAAGAGGTTTAATTAATTGTAAAGTCTCACTATTGGTAGTTGCAAAGAGGTTATTGTTCTACAGAGGTTACACTTCGAATAACATAGAAAAAAACTCCATGGTATCAACTGAAATACATTTGTACATATGAAAATTAAAGAAGGACAGTCGGAACCAGGGGCAGATACAGAACACGGTTTCCTGGGGGGGGGGCTGACATATGGGTTTAAGATTTTGACAAAAATAATGCAACAGGCGAAAATTGTGCTAGCATTTTATTAGCTCATTATATGAGTGGCTGTCCCCTGATGAATATGTTTAAATGCTGGAAAAATTATAAACAATGAGAAATGATTGAAGTAAAGGCTCTACAGATGGGATTTTTTTATCCCAGTACTTCTTCCAGTTGTCATACTAGTATATTCATACTTTTATGTTCAAGACCATCTCATGGATAGTTTTGGAATTAAACTTAAACAAATATTTATCTTTTAATGATTAAAAATTAAAGCCAATCCCCTGAATAGTCTTAGAACTAAAGACGGAAAAATATTTTGAAATTAAACAAAGGGAGATTATTTTAAAAATAGGAATAGATCGAATCAATGCATAACTCTTGGTTTGCATCTATTAATACAATGTATTTAAAGTTTCATTTCAGTCCAATGTAGAGTTTCAAAGTTATGCTGCGTTCAAAAATTTATCTTAAAATTAATGATGATCATTACAAAAATGGAGTATTTAATACTTATGATGTTTGGTGCACTTCTCTTAGTTTCCACCTTATAAAATTTCAAGTCAATATCTTAGATTGTTTTCAAGTTATGCTCAGAAAAGGGACAGAAAAACAGTTGAACATGCTTACATTTCAATGCTTAGATAGCTACACCTTTGTACGGAATTAATGACATCAAAGAAAAGGAACAGTAACCTATTGTTCCTATCACAATCTAAATATCAAAATGTAAGCATGGATGAACAGATAAAGACTATTACCATGTCTCCATCACATTTTCAATAAATATTAATATATAAATGTACTTTAATAACAGACCTGACTCTTTCCTGGTTTACACGACAGAAGTTGTCTCTCATAACCTGGTTGTACACACGTCTTAGTTCAGCAGTATCAATTCTTTTCATGGTGGAAATGAGCGTTGAAAACTGATCAGATGTTGTAGGGGTCACCTCAGTTGCCGTGGAGTCACACAGATCATTTAAAAGGTCAAGGACATCCTTTGCATTCAGGTCAGTAGTTACAGCAGATGGAGCATGCTCAAAGTAAAGCTCTTCTGGTTCTCCACATTCAGCTAGAAATAATACAACATAATTTCATGAATTACAACATTTGAGAGTTAAAACCATCTAGAGCTGCCACAGGAGTAACAAATACCCCCACCTGATCTCTATATGACACATGATAATTATTATCTATTGCAATGTATCATTATTTTTTACAGAACATAATCATGAGTTAAGTTAAAAAAAGTAATTTTAAAAGTAAAGAAATCGGTAATACAAACACAATAAATTCAAATTTGACTTTCAATGGTGACCTTGACCTTGAGCCTGCACAGTAGCAGCATAAGTTCTGCATGTTGCCTTGTTTAGGTGAACATTTGAGCTAAGTTTTAAGAAAATGCCTCAAGGGGTATAGGATTTGTAAAGCAGACAGAAAATTGCCTGACATTTCACCTTCCAGGTTGACCTTGACCTTTTAGCTGCATAGCGGCAGCACAAGTTCTGCACACAGCAAATGTAGAGGTGAACATTATAGCCAAATTTGACGAAAATCTTTATAGGGGTATTATAATGATTTATAGAGCAGACACAGTTGAGATGGATGGATGGACAGACCAACTGACGAAATGATTCAAGTATAACGCCCTCCACATAATGTGGTGGGGGGATAATTAAGAGACATCATATTACTGCTTTCTTAGGTACATAAGGTAGATCACATAACTATAGAAGAGAATAAGGTACAATTCACTAGTAGGTATCATCAAACTTCCCCATTTTCTAAATCTAATGATTATTTTATTTTCAGGTACTGAGTTATATAATGATTTATTTCTAATTTAATTCAATTAGTTTTTGCAAAAGATTTTTAACTTAATTGAAATATATCTTTATGTAATACACAATGGCTTTAAAAGGAAAACATAACCTTGATGTATGACTGTTTCATATGATATAAACTATGGATTTATAAATCAAAGAAAACAAGCTGTTTATTTGGCAAAGTAACTACTTTAAAATGTTACGTAAGAACTGTCCTCTTTGTGTTTTATGTAAATAAATAGGATACTGCCAGAAAGTACTCATTTACTTTGAGCTCCATGATTCCAAAGTACAAAATTTTGGAACATTAAACGCCTACACTTGACTTTTTTTTTGTTTTCCTCCATTACAGTGCCAAAAGTATCTAATTGCACTTGAAACCACTTTATACATGGACTAACAACACTTTAATCCTAGTAATAAATGGGGCAAATAAACAATGTGATCATGACTTCAGCAGGAGGAAAGTTTATATTCTATAATGGAAACACACATTCTGTGTGTACATTTTCCTGTACTAAACACATTGGGTTATATTGTATAATTACTATCATCATTAATACTGCATCCACAAAACAACAAAGAAAATCTGAAGAGGATAAATCTTGAAATTCTTGACAAGACACTTGATTTATCAAAACATCCAAAAGAATAATCCTGTACTTTTAAAGAATGATTATTTCTTAACGTGGGAATATTTTTTAATTATTCTTAAATGCATTGTTAAACAGATATAACTCCTTTCTTCTTTTTAATTGGTCATTATTTGCTTTTGTCTGACAAGTCAAGCAGTGACCATTATAACTAAAGGGTAAGGGTTATTTGAACTCTCTATAACCTTAATGCAAGCAGAATGTAGGTTTTATATATCTTAAATGATATGATCAAACATTTAAGAACCTTACCAAGATGGCTACTGGTACCAGCTCTTTCTTTCACAAATGTCATTTTTTGGGTAACCTCTGTTGTGGCACCACTATTTTCCTTGGAGAAAGGTCGCAGCAAATGCATTTCATGGCAAATAGAACTTGTTAGAACACCTGCTATGCTCACTTCTTGGTCACATGTATGAGTCTCCTTCATTATAGGCAGTGATTTGATACCCTGAAAGAATAGAATTTAATTAGCAAATGTAATTATTAATGTAGCAAATGTAAATCTTGCTAATGTGACTCTATTACTACAAGAAAGGAAAAATCCTCAAAAGGAGGTATTTTAATGAACAAAAGTTGTTTTAGCGATTAAACTCATCAAATGCCTTGAAGAATGAATGCTAGGAAAGAATTTCTAAAATGCTTTACACAAACTGACTTCTAAAATGCTTGGTAAAAACTTATTCCTCAAATGTTACATACAGACTAAGCCTAACATGCTTGATACAAATTAACTAACCTCTCAAATACTTAACTTAAAATGATATCTTGTATCAATTCTTTTGCAAATCTACTGTTGTTTTGAATCTTACTGAACAAGATACTGATTGTTGAATTTCATGATTATACAATAATTCAATACACAAGCATTGCTTTTATTTTTGTAATGAATATAGTTTACACCTTGAACACAATCTAAAGTCATATCTCAAACCACTTGCCCCTCACAGGTTTAAATTATTGCATGTGAGGAAGCTATCAGCTAGTTTACAGAAGGTCTTTCCAGGCGCCTCCTCATGCCTGAACTAATGCACTGAGTGGGCCACCTGAGGCCTTCCTCCAAAAGCAAAGCTGGAAAGTCATCATAAGACCTTAAAATTTTGAAACTACTACATGTGTTACTTAATGTAATTGTAAGAGCAGAATGTAAATTTTACAGGTTTTATTAAAGAATTTAGGAAAATGTAGCATATACTCCATTACAGCCAGGTCCTGCTAAATTCTTTTACATTCAGTGCAAAAATGTTCATTCAATAACCACACATTAGCATATATACTTACTGAAGAAACTCTGAATGGGGTTGTTTGAATAGCACTATCAAAGCCTTGTCTGTGTGTACATGTTGACAAATCTTTAGATTTCTTGATGGTCAGAGTCCTCCAGCCTCTCTGGGCAACAGTGTACTCTGTCTCACAATTACCAGTTACATCACTCTGTAAGTAGGAGATGACTTCATTATGCAAAAATAGGTTAGAACAAGAATTAAACTAAACATGTTATCATCTTCAAATGATGAAAAATCATAGATTAAAACAAGTGGATTTTATTTTCACAAGATCGTCCCTGATATTCATCATGCTAAAACTTTGTTTATATTAAACTCTGTTAATATTAGACAAGTACATAATATAGTACTCCCCACAGGTACTATATGTCCCCACTAATATCACCAATTCAGTTACCAAAACATGTGTCAATATGCATCTGTAGTGCCAAATATAGACATTTCAGAATCTTGATGTTATTTTTTTATCATTGACATATAATTTTATGGACACCTGTACTTAAAATTAAAGATACATAAGTAAATACTATTATAAAACGCACTACAACTAAGTCTTTTTCATTATTTCAAAGTTGTGGAAATAATAAGTTCCACAATACTCCAAGACCACACTACTTGTACAATAAGCAGACTTTTGAATAGTCCAACTTAATGTACTCCATTTTTAGTTTTTGTGTTAATTTTTATTTAAATGAACATTAGATAAATTGAATTTGTCAAATTATTTTTTGACTAGCTTTTGATTTTCAACATATGAATTGAAGAAGGGCACTGCTAAAACATTCATACCTCAGAACCTTTAAAGCTGAATTCAAAGCTGTCCATTGAATTTTGTAATGATGATAAAATTCCTTTCTTGATGTTAACTGCCCATGGTTCCTCTCTCTCAGATGGGCACACAGTTTCAATACGGCCATCTTGGAAGGAAAATCTCAGTGGGAATTTCTCTAATGTTTGAGCAAATTGTTTATCTTTATCCTGATCAGCATATAGTTTTGAATCATACGCAACAATTGTAACGTCATTCACCTATGAATATAGATATCCGGTTAATTAAACATAATCATCAAAATTTGAAGAAAAAAAAAATGAATGTTTTGAGACGGATTATGCCAAAAGGACATAGGAACAAAAATAAGTCTAAAACTAGGCTAGACTTTTGAATATGTCGGCTGTTATTTTTAACATTTTACACAAAAGTATTTCTTCAACATTTAACAGTTTATGTTTCTCTAAAAATCAATCTGATTACTCCTAGGTTATGGGTAAGTGTTAGAGTTGTGGGTTCTGATAGAGGTTTAGCGTTAGGATAATGAAATATGGATTTTACTGCGCAAGTGTTCCATTTTCCGGAATATTTAAATTCATTTTATTAAATGTACCTTTGGCTAATCGGCTGCTATTATCGCTAAATATGCCTCCACAAATGGCACATTACATAAAAGGGAAGTAACAAATCTGCAAATGGCGTATCAATATTAATGGGAAGCAACTCTCTTTGTCAGATAATAGTTATGTGATTGAAGTTCCAACAGTTAGAGGACCGTCCAACGTTTAAACCTACATTTAAAAGGTACTGTATCGTTCAATAAATAAATTAGCGAGGAAAAAAGAGCGACGACGAAGCGGCAACTGTATAGGTATACTGTATGCTCCCTTTAAGTTTTTGGGGAGCATATTTTTGAACGCGATGCAAGTACAAATGTTTAAGAATGTGAAAAACTCATATCATAAGAAACAATTACTGGAACTTTAATGATTTAAAAGTGGCACGACATTTACTTACCTGTAGAATAAATTCACATTTACTAACGACTTCAATGTCTACAAGGGCATTTATCCAAATAGCTGAATGGTCTTCCGAAGCTCCTAGCACGGAGGTCCGAGTCTCTGCCTCATATTTATACTGGTAGGTTGTTCCAGGGGCGTAGCCGAACTTGGTGCTTCCTTGATAGATATAAATACATGCTGTCAAAATCAATCTGTTTTATTCATAGAATCAATTTAATGGGACACAAAGACACTAGCTCATTGTTTGTAACTTCTGACTAAAACACGGCTAGGTTACTTTTCGAATAATACATGTAAAAGGTCTTCAATAACACCCATTTTCTAAAATGTGTTTTATAGAATGGCTATGTACATAAAAGTCAGTCGTCAGAATTTGTAAAACACTGACCATAGGGTAACCGAAATACTTAGTAAGTGGACACGAAAGTACCTTGAAATCTGAATACATGTATTTAAGATGTTTTAATTAGGGTGAAATAAACAACAATTTAGTGTGTCATTCAATAACAACTCGCTTCTGTTAAGGTCAATCTCTTGTAATTAAACCAAATCTTACGATATATAATATCCCATCCCGAAGATAATTTGCGATAACTTATCAATGACCAAATAAACATGTAGCTCTATCAAATTATCATGCCTGATAATTCGGTCCAAACAGGATAAATTGCCAAATATTAATTCTGAATTGAATAATAAAGAAAGATAGCGTACTAATCGACAACTGCAATTATAATTATTATTGTAAATTGTTTTACGTTGTTATATACTAGTTATACCAATTTAAAGCAGCAGTGACTTATTATAGGCAAAACTTTTCTTATTATTAATTCTTTTTAGATTAGTATTACCTCGTATAATTACTTATCCTGAACCTTTTGAAATTTACAGATAAAAAATAAATTTAAAAAAATAAACGCATTTTTAGGAGGGGGAAAATGTGGATATGATGTTCGATTACAAAAGTAAAAAGAAAGATCGTTCTCAGTATTAATAAAAATAATTAAATCTTTGATTTCAATGGTCCATCCATAACTCGGGAAATTTCACAAAAACTGCTAAGAAGCGTTGAAAATACTTGTCAGCTCACAAACTTAGACACATATGGATAGGATACATTCAGGGGGGGGGGGGGGGATACCGAAAGTACATAATATATTATAGATCCTTCTTAAACACCATTCAGTCAGGGGCAGTGACATAATCATCTAAATATAAAAGATTATGTGGAATCAGTTATATCAATCAATTTACCTGTACACGTTCTAGAGCACGTGGAACTACCAGCTTCGAGATTTCGACGTCTTGTTGGTCCTGTAAGCAAATAACACCTCAAATTTAGACATATGATTCTGAAATATGGAGCTGTATTTAATTAATTGGATAATTGTAACAATTATAACTATAATGTTTGTCTTTATTGCTGTATTCACATTGTATCTTTTTTCTATCAATTTTTACATGTTAAGTGTAATTATAATTAGAGGACCATAAACTTTAAAAACAAAATGGAATTTACATAAAATATAAGTTAATTTTAATAAAATTGCCATTGCCGGGAAAAAACACGGTGGCAGTTTTATTCAAGTTAATTAGGCTGTAAAGAGGCGCGGGGTGGGGTGGTAGTGGGGAGGCAATGTACGTCATATAAAATCGTAATTAATGAATGCTGTTTATGTGCCGTTAGATAACACACATGTATCTTATTTTCAACGGTACTTTGATTTCTTTGTCTAGAAAAATGGCAGCGCTGTCAGCATATTTGAAGACGGCCATCTCGTTACATAATGGTCAATATATAACACTAACCAGCTGAGTTGATTCATATCTAAGATGGTATCTGCACTGACCATTGTGCTGTAACCACTTGTACAACAACTAACTCAGCAGGCACCAATTACTCTCATGTCATTGATTGATAACTATGTTTGTGTTAACGGTGCTTAACTGATAAGCCAGGTTAACATTTATAACGAGCGATCGAAGATCAGTAGAAAAAATTCGAAAAATTCAAATTTTCGAGTCAGATTTGCTATATATGTATCTTGGGTTACTGATCAGTAACATGTTTGCAAATAAAGATGATTTACTAAAAAAGCCAACATGTTTTAATAAATAATCAATTTTTAATTTCTCGAATGATTTTATGTATCTGGGCCACAGAATATACTCAAAAATGATGAAAAATGAAATCCCCGTGTCTGTATTTTATACATTATTATAAACTACAAATTCGGAATGGCTCCTGATTTTTAGACCCCGGGGTCTACGATTAAATATGTATTAGATATTTCAATGGTCATTTGATATATCTAACAAGAAAAAAACTTCAGAACATGCGTTTGACACTTCATCACAGGTCATTCTAACATCCGTACAGAGCGTGTCTGAAAGATTCTGCCCAGAATGAATAATTTTATTTTAAACCAACATTTTAATTTCAATTTATTTTAAAATTAATATGTACATTAGTGTATTATTTTTTGAATGTTTTACATGCACAGCGGAAATGTTGCTCGATTTCTAATAATGATACTATTACTTTATAAACAATACGCGTTACTCTTTAACGCGTGTTTACGCGCAGCATGCGTTCTTGCAACCAGCTGATCGATTTTCAGAAAGTAGGTTAAATCTGCCAAAAACAAAAACAGGATCATGTGATCACGTGGCGTTGTTTTGTAAACAGGCTTCAGAGTTCATGCTGAAATAACAACGAAAGGCGTGGAGCGAAGGATATGTTCTGTCGATGCCAAAAAAGTGACATTTTGAAATTATAGATTTTGAACCTATATTTATGTGCTGTCGACGCCAAAAAAGTGACATTTTGAAATTAAAGATTTTGAACCTATATTTATTCATCGTGAACGTTAAAAAAAACCGGCATAACTCATTTTCATACGCAGTTCTTTTCGAGAAAAACAAAAACGTACAATAAATAAATAAATAATAAAAGATAAATAAATAAAAACAAATTAAAGAGTATCAAATAAAGAACATTTGAAATACTGATAGATTGACTGATTGGGTTAATTAAGCGAACAAACATTTTAAAAACTCCCTAAGAAGAAAGATGATGATGATGATGATGATAATGATTATAATCATCATCATCATCATCATCATCATCATCATCATCATCATCATCATCATCATTATTATTATTATTATTATTATTATTATTATTATTATTATTATAAAAAATCACGAACATTGTGCGCAAAGACTAAAAACATGTATATATGTGTAAAATTACATGATTGACATGATATATTTTCAAATTAATTGTGACTAATAATTTTGTATTAATAGACAAAAATATTTATGTATTTATTTCGTTTGTAATACATTCATTATGCTATTTAATCATTTTGATTTACAGCTTATTACATTTTTCATTAATTAATTAAATGTAGAAATATTTACAGTTGAACAAGGCTTAAACACAGATACACCCAAATATATTAGACGAAAATTAAAGTTTCGTTTCTTTAAGCGCATACTATGTTTTATTTTTTATGATAAATGTTTTTATACAAACAAATAAAATTTGTTTTTAACAAAAAATAAAAAAATAAATGAAATTGACAAATTTAATTTTACCTGCAAATGAGCTCGCCGACAAGGCAAGCAGTATAAGAAAACGATATTCCATATTAACGTCCACCATACTCAGTGGACTTGCACAGTATTTTACTTTGCAAGATGTAGATCTGATATTTATACTACAAGCTGCGGGGTTCCAAAGTCCAAATCAAACTCATCAACCTCCTTTCGATCATAAACCAAAACTAGGAATGGAAGGTTTCGTGATAACAGAAAACTAGGGTGTACCGTTAAGGCCATCGGGACACACACATAACTCACAACAACGAAAACATGAAATAACGATGGTGAAAAGTCGAAATAACGAAACTACGAATTACCATGATGATTAAGTCGAAGTACGATGGTGAAAAGTCGAAATAACGAAACCACGATGGTGAAAAACTCGATATAATTTCGTATTTTCACCATCGTACTTTCGACCTTTCACCATCGTGGTTTTGATATTTCGTTATTTCTACTTTTCATCATCGTACTTTCGGCTTTTCACCATCGTTCTTTCGACTTATCGTGGTTTCGACTTTTCATCTTTATAGACAGTACTTTCGACTTTTCTCCATATCATGCTTTTGGCATTTGACCACCGTACACCATCGTAGTTCCGCCTTCTTGTCTGGTATATGCACAGAGATCATAACAATGGATGACGTCATAATAAAATATTTCTATTTTCCACTATCGTCATTTCGTGTTTTCGTTGTTTCGAGTATGTGTGTGTCGCGATGGCCCCCACGGAAGACCGTACTTTACAAAATTAGAGTACAAATGGATAAGGAAATGAATAAGATTTACTTATATGCAAGCACATGGCAATTTTTTTTGATATATGTGATGTGGAGTTATAACGGATATGGAAACATAATATGGCTTGTTAATAGTTAAGTGGCAAGGCTTATCCAGCCCTTGTTTTCGCGTATGTTTTCTATCTCAACTTTATTGTTATCTTATGAACGATTAAAGATTATTGAAAGAAATGAAAACATCGTACCACGGTTTTATTATATGACCTTATAAATGGGTTATGATTTACATATTTACATATAAAAGAACACAATTGTGGCATGTATTCACCGGACTTCCACACTGATCAAAAGGCAATGAATACACACTATATTACACGCATTTCAAGAAACATACAGCAAATATTATTATAGGTAAATTATCAAATTAAAAATACTTTTTATTGAATTGCATTATATTTTCATATACTTGTAAGATACAAGCACGTACGCTGAAACGTTATGAAATACGTACGTGTGAAAATACGCAAACACGAATGCTATACATTCTGATCACAGGTGTTTGGCGCGTTGATTGGTCACTAACCCCGCCCCCTACCCACTCTACATCCCTCCTACCTCTCAAAACCATGTAAACTGCAGTATTTTTCATTTGAAACATGTTTTTATATTTTGTATATGCTTTTAATTCAATTTCCTTCATTGCCCACAAAAAAAAAATAATGATATAATAATAATGATATACTTGTATCACTGGAAATTTTTTGTCCCAGCTCGAACGCCCCTCATATCCGTTTCCTGGACAATCGATAAAGAAATAATATGGCCATTTCCTACAGGAGGCATCGAATCTGCCAGCCTAGCGTTTTACCATGGAGCTAAATGAATGAGTGTAAGTTAATACTGAATTTATTGAACGAGTTGAGTAAAATTATATTATGCGAGCCTCTGGCAAGCATAATATTATTTTATTCAACGAGTTCAAGAAATTAAGTAATGAACTTGCACGTATTTAATATTCTATTTATCACATACCAAAAATAAAGACCATTTGATGTGAAAATAGAATCATTTTTCATTGACGCGCTAACATTAACGCTATGTTTATATTTAACGCAAATGACGTCACGTCATTTTACGGAGTCGCAAAATCGGCACGGGTATGTGATAAATAAAATAAGTAAATTAATAAAAAATAAATTTGTATATATCTGTGGTTTTACGTGAATTTGTGATACAATAAGCACAATGTAAACAAAGTGGTATTTTTTACTTCGATACATAATACTTATAACTACTGCCGAAATGAAAAAAAAAAAAAAAAAAAAAAAAATATATATATATATATATATATATATATATATATATATATATTATATATATATATATATATATATATATATATCTTCTTGGAAACCGTAGCAGGACAACAAAAATGTAAACCATTTGAAAGACAAGTAAAATGGTTTCCTGCGGGGAACATTTTTAATGATATAAAGATATTTCATTTAACTATTTTCAACATTGTTTGGGGGGGGGGGGGATAAATAAACGTTTGTATCAGGAATATAGTTGACAATAATCGATCAATATAGAATAAGGTCTTTGGAAACTGGTGACCGTTGATGACCGGAGAAAGTCGAACATAAAACAATTATTTCTTTTTAAGAAAATGATTAAATAGGCCTACCATTTTATGAATAATTCCGAGCAAAAAAAAAAATAAATAAATAAAGCAAACACTCAAGTTTTCGCAGAAAATATCTCTATTTATTATGGCAGATGCCACTACGCATATTTTAATTTTGTAGATTTTCAGTATAAACAATTTATTGTTTGTAACATTTTGAGATACATATTAAAGAAACATTGATAATTTTCAAACACATCATTCAAGTTTTTCCACCTTAAACGGTAACATAATTATAGAACATTTTGAGATACATATTAAAGAAACATTGATAATTTTCAAACACATCATTCAAGTTGATCCACCTTAAACGGTAACATAATTATAGAAAATTAAAGATATCACGTAATAGTTTTTTGTTCTTAATAGGTGTAATTCTGACTTATTCCCTAGAGGATTATCCGTAACGTACCGGCAAACGGTATTTAGCCAGGTTTTCGAAAAGGTCAATTAACCAATCATTTACGGTTTACAGATCACATGCTCCTCCATGTACCGAAAACAGGTCACGTGCTCCTCCATGCCTCAAAAGTTAAACGCGTACCAATACCCTGCGGTCTCCAGACCGCAGGGAACAAAAATATTTTCTTTTAGTAATGGGTCTGTAAACAATAAAAATTTGTTTTTGAATGGGAAAAATGGTATCTAGCAAAAGAAAAAAAAACTGTTCTTTTCTATCCTATTCTATTCCGTTGCACGTGTTCATATTATTATAGATATTGCAGATTAGCGCGTTTCTTTTTATTTAGATACCGTGCACGTAAAAAAACCTACGAGGATTCGAAATTATTCATATTTTATCTCTTGCAATCACGTGATCCTTCCTGATAAGAGCACACAAACACTTTCATTTCTATTTGTAAACTTGATTAGAACAGAACATACGTAAGTTTACTTTCATACAAATATGTTGTCAGTGTCTTATAGGGTGAAGTGAAGTTCAGATTGTTCGTCATTTTAATTTGAAAGCCAAAAAATAGAGTAACACATGATTTTATAGAAGACATTTACATGATTTAACAATGTACAGATGTCAAATGGCTATGTTTTTTAAACACCCAAATCTTTGTGCGTAAAATCTAGAAATCTTGAAAATATGCAAACAGAAACAAGTTTACAACTGAACAGCAAGACCTCTCAGACATTTTTTAAAGCGAACTCAGGGAAATTGCATAGTTGCTTCATTTAGATAAACACTAGTTAAGTTTACTATATAAAACCGAAAAAAAATGAACTCTCCTTATACGAAGTTTTACGGAAAAGTCCGAACAGTTTCGACGAACACACCCCCTAAAGTGATTGGTTACATGCAAAACCCGCGCAATTATCTTTCGCCCTTTTTAACTTCGTTTGTGTTCTCTATACCCTATATATATTTGTGGGGTGGTTGGTATAATTTGATAATGAAACAACAAAAATACATTTTGAAGGTTATAGAAAACTATGGTCAGATTTTCAGGAGTCATTTCAATGCTGTATAGAAACTGCATTATTCTGAATCAAGATTGTCTCGACCGGAAGTGGTTACGAACAAATATTAAACTGCGTCCTTGACATGAGCTGCCAAGTTGTTTATATCTTTGATGGTCACTGAACTTAATTAAAAATTGTGAGGTTCATCCTTTTTGGTCCAGTTTCATAATATAACGTTGATTTTTTTTGTATTTAAAATTGTTAGATTCTGAGTACGACAATGCACCGTGTGTGTCAAATTTCGAAGCAAAGCAAATATTTGCTCTACACGCTCAACTCTTACCAGAGTAAACTGGTTTCGCTAAATGGCTATGGCAAAGGATCTCCAACTTTCCAGTGCAGACATAATTCAGGAGTCGTGGACAAGCTATTTCCTCCTCATCATGTTTTTGCAGATAGACATATAGGACCAAATAAAGATGAAAAGCAATCAATGCTGGAATTTCTTGGAGTGGAGGTATCATTTATCATAATAATTTGATGTTTATAGTTAAAATTATAGTTTAATCTTTCAAGACAAAGTATATGTAATGCAATGAGGTGGCACGATAGCTCAGTTGGTTAGACCACTGACTGTCACTCCTGAGGTTCCGGGTTCGATCCTGGGTAACACCCTTGGGATTTTTCAGAAACACTTTCAGTGTTTCCCACCTAACTAGAGGTTTACTGGTACGAAACCCAGGTAATCCTGGCATGTATCAGTGCTATACACTGGGCATGTAAAAGAACCAAGGAATCTATTCAATAAGAGCTAGGGACTGGTTCCCGGATTTCCTTGTATCTCATAGCTGTCTCTAGTGTCTGCTGAGGTAAGGACCCTACTGGAAATAAGTGCTTGCACTTTCGTAGGTTATCCTTGACCGCCCGGTCTAAAGAAAATCAATCAATCAATCAATGAATGACTGGATTTTTTATTGACTTGTGTAATGAAATAAAATTACATATTGACACGCTTTTAATTCTCACTTTTTACAGACAATGGAAGAAATGGTGTCTAAATCTGTCCCAGCAAACATCAGACTCAACAGAGAACTTAATATTGATGATGCAAAAGGTACTTAAGATTCTGGGTCATTAAGTGACACAACAGACAAATTGGATTTGATATTTTAGAATATGTCTTGTTTATAAGACAATGGAAGATAAAGGATATATCGTGGACTAACCAGTTCTCAAACCTCTAAGCATTCAAGAGGTCTTTTAATGTAAATAAAAATATATCTTTATAAAAATTCTTTACATATGTACACTTTAATCTTTATGTAACATTTCTGTAAAATTTGACTGAAATTCAACTATTAAAAAAGCTCTATTTCCATCTTGGAAAAGCACAACCCTCTGTTTTAAAACTAACATGGCCTCTTAAAATAAAGAACCTAATCTCAAACCCCTTCAAGTATCTCTAAAATTCTACTGTTTAGTTTAGCCAACAAAGTGATTGTTATATGCCTATCACATGACAATGAAGTACCCTACACGATGCAGTTACCTGCTTTAAGATATTTTTGTCTATAATATTCATTTTCACAAATAGTTAATGGTGTATTTATGGGACTTACAAAGGTAATAGCAATTTGTATGAAATTACGCTAAGTAATAAAATATGTTATGTAAATATTTGTTCCTATGCACTGTTTTCATTTGACATCAGCAGACATGTCTGTCAGAAACTAAGCTTTTATGCACACAAGTTCAGGACATCATAGTCACTTATAATAAAAATATAACAGCACATGAATGAAAGGTTTGAGAATGGGTTGGGTGTGAGATAAGGTACTTATACGATAAGGAGTTTTGTTCAAATGAATTAAGACTGCTAGCTGCCTCCATATCCAAGTCCACTTGTTTGCAGATGATACTGCAATATACAATGCTCTGACATCTGCAAATCAATCATTAACCCTCCAAAATGACCTTTATTGGTTAGAAAAGTGGGAGTTGGAGTGGGATATGAAATTTAACCCCTCCAAATGTCAAGTTATCCACATCACAAAAAGGACAGGTCCTTTAAATACCTAGGTAGTCAGTTCCAGTGGTAATTGCTTGGATGAGTTCGAACATGGGTCATTTTGGATGAAAAACTAGGTCTCAGGAGCTAAAAATAGAAAAATCTTGTTAACAATCTAGTGGCTACAGTTTTGATCAAAATATTCTTGAAAATGGTCTGAAAGTTTGTTTTGATGATTTCTAGGTCAAGTTTTAATATGGGTTACCCGGGGTCAAAAACTAGGGTTCACTACCCAAATATGGAAAAAAAACCTGTTAACACTCTGGTGGTCACATTTTTGATTCAATTGTCATCAGCCTTGGTCAGGATGCTTGTCTACATAATTGCTCAAATTAGTTCAAATATGGGACATCTCTGATGAAAAACTAGGAGCTGAAAAACATGTCTATATGAGATAAAAGGTTAAAGAGGATCTGTCATCATTATTGAAAATTGTTGAAAAAATAAGGGGATCACCATAATAGACTAGAATAGACACTAAGTGAGAAGCTCACAGAAGCAAAAAATATAATCATTTTGTAGTGGCTACTGTTGTAATCCAAATATCCTGGAAATTGGTCTGCAAGTTGGTTTTGATGATTTCTAGGTCATGTTCGAATATGGGTCACCTGGGATAAAAAACCAGGTTACACTGCCCAAATATGGAAAAACCTTGTTAACACTCTAGAGGTCACATTTGTGAATATTGTCTTCAAACTTGGTCTGGATGCTTGTCTAAGACATTGCACAGTTGAGGTTTGTGGGTCAGGGGAGCAATCTAGGGCCATTGTGGCCCTCTTGTCTTAAAATATTTTGACTCATCTGGAGGCATGTTGCTTTATAACAGAATGATAAGCAAAAGATTATTATGAAATATACTCAGAAATAAATTGAACATTGTATTTTTGTGCAATTCTTTGCCTGGTTTGATAATAATTGTTCTTGAAAAATAGAGCAGGAGAATGATTAGAAATTTACGCCTTAGCTATTTATCAAGACCAACATCAGTTTCAAATGAATAAGACCTTTTATCTAAAATTAAACACTGTTTCTAGTCGAGTAGTCCTGTATGTCAATAAAAAAAAAACAAGCTGAAGTCCTTTTATTAGTTTTAAGACATTTTGCAGACAGCTCAGCTCATTTTTTCTCTTGAGCTTCTCACTTAGTGTCTATTCTAGTCTATTATGGTGATCCCCTTATTTTTTCAACAATTTTCAATACTGATGACAGATCCTCTTTAACCTTTTATCTCATATAGACATGTTTTGACAGCTTTTAATTCCCCCCCCCCCTTTTTAGGCCTCAAGTAGTGAAAAAATGCCAAATTTAGGTGCTAAACACTGCTTTTCGTTCAAGAAATGTTGTTAAAAAAAGTGACTTTTTCGGCACCATTCCCTATCAAAAAGGTACATCAAGGTGGTGCCAGAAGAGGGATGTGCCTCCTTCTTTTAGGGGGTTTGAAGGGGGCAGCAGTCCCCCTCATCACCAAGACAATTTTGGACTTATGAAAGGCTAAAAATGGCCTCAGGTTGATCTTAAGGTAATGTGTAACCAATGCTGAAAAGGCTTTTACTCTATCTCAATCCATTTAGAAGCTGCACTTTGAAATCAGTTTTGATAGAAAAAAAACATTGCAAAAAGTGATTTTTTGCCATTTTGAGACGTCCCCTTGTTGCCATGGTAGCTGAAAATTTAAGATTGAGACTCATTTTGCTGTTACAAAGGCTATGGTCCAGTCAACATTTGTGCCAAGTTTGATCAGTATTGAAGCATTTTTTATAGTTTCATAGCAGTTAGAACTTGTAACAGGAGGCTTTTCAATGAAAACAGCCATTTTTCACAATATGCTCATGCAGTAAAAGGGTAATTATGCAAAGTTTAAGAAAATACTCTCTGCTTTTTAGCTCACTTGAGCTTGCTCAGGGTGAGCTTTTAGGATCGGTGAATGTCCGTCGTCCGTCCACAATTGCTTGTGAACACTCTAGCGGTCACATTTTTTAACCAATCATCATCAAACTTTGTCAGGATGCTTGTTTAGTCAATTGCTTGGATGAGTTCCAACATGGGTCATCTCTGATGAAAAACTAGGTCACAGGAGCTATAAATAGAAAAACCTTGTGAACACTCTAGCGGTCACATTTTTGAACCAATCATCATCAAACTTGGTCAGAATGCTTGTCTAGTCAATTGCTTGGATGAGTTCGAACATGGGTCATCTCTGATGAAAAACTAGGTCACAGGAGCTAAAAATAGAAAAACCTTGTGAACACTCTAGTGGTCACATTTTTGACCCAATCATCATCAAACTTGGTCAGGATGCTTCTCTAGTTGATAGCTCGGATGAGTTCGAACATGGGTCATCTCGGATGAAAAAGTAGGTCACCGGAGCTAAAAATAGAAAAACCTTGTTAACACTCTAGCGGTCACATTTTTGCATCAGTCATCATCAAACTTGGTCAAGATGCTTGTCTAGGTGAAAGCTCGGATGAGTTGGAACATGGGTCATCTCGGATGAAAAACTAGGTCACAGGAGCTAAAAATAGAAAAACCATGTTAATACTCTAGAGGTCACAATTTTGCCTCAATCATCATCAAACTTGGACAGGATGCTTGTCTAGGTGATAGCTCGGATAAGTTTGAACATGGGTCATCTCGGATGAAAAAGTAGGTCACCGGAGCTAAAAATAGAAAAACCTTGTTAACACTCGAGCGGTCACATTTTTGCATCAATCATCATCAAACTTGATCAAGATGCTTGTCTTGGTGATAGCTGGGATGAGTTCGAACATTGGTCATCTCGGATGAAAAACTAGGTAACAGGAGCTAAAAATAGAAAAACCTTGTTAACACTCTAGTGGTCAAAATTTTGACTCAATTGTCATCAAACTTGTCTAGGTCATTGCTGGGAATAAATTGAACATGGGTCATCTTGGATGAAAAAGTAGGTCACCGGAGCTAAAAATAGAAAAATCTTGTTAACACTCTAGTGGCTACTGTTGTGATCCAAATAGATGTTAATTGGTCTGAAAGTTTGTTTTGATGATTTCTAAGTCAAGTTCGAACATGGGTCATCTTTGATGAAAAACTAGGTCACACCGCCCAAATATGGAAAAACCTTGTTAACATTCTAGTGGTCACATTTTCGACTCAATTATCATCAAACTTGGTCAGGATGCTTGTCTAGGTAATTGCTTGGATGAGTTCGAAATCGCATGTGGAACTAGGTCACCGGAGCTAAAAATAGAAAAATCTTGTTAACACTCTAGTTGCTACTGTTTTGATCCAAGTATCCTGGAAATTGGTCTGAAAGTTTGTTCTGATGATTTCTAGGTCAAGTTTGAATATGTGTCACCTGGGTAAAAAACTAGGTCGCACTGCTCAAATATGGATAATCCTTGTTAACAAACTGTAGTGGTCACATTTTTGACTCACCTGTCATGAGACTTGGTCAGAATGCTTGTCTAGGTAATTGTTTGGATGAGATTGATAAGTCAGGTGAGCGATCTAGGGCCATCATGGCCCTCTTGTTTGAATTTTCCTTCTGGTGTAAAAAATTGTACTACATGTATTTCCAAAGATATCTTTAACATTGTGAAATTAAAAGCACTGTTACTTAAATATAATAAAAATACTGAATAGTGTCAGTGTCAACAGGTAAAAAGACAATTCTATACTTAATTTGGTCCCAGAATTGTACATAAGACGTTTTGACACGGTTGTGTTTGTGAATAGGTTTGTTATTCAGTACTACTTATCCTACATACATACTTAAACGGTAATCCTCTGTAAGTTATGGCTTACCTTCAAAGTAAATGCCATATCTTTAAATTTGTGTTTCATTTTTAATACAAATCTTTTTTCGTAGAAAATCCCCCAAAGATTTTAAATGATTAAAGCTGCTATTACATTATAATACTAAGTAGAAAAGACATTCTACATACATTTATCTGATAAATGTATATTCTGTTAAGTCTTACATGCATAGAACATGTACATGTAGTTAATACATGAGTTCAAGGTTGAAATATTTGTGTGGAATGTAAACAGCTCAATATTGCTTAAATTTTGAAATGTCAGTAGTCAATACCACAATTATGATTTTAATGATTATTTAAACAACAGTTATTATAGCTGTTTACAATCATCTTTCTGATAAGTTTACTTACAAAAGCCTAGGAGGTGGTAAAGATAGTTAAAAGAAATTCAGTAAATTTAGATTTTCTCACATCACACTTGTATCTTCTTTTTTTTTTAGCTCACCTGAGCTAGCTAGCTTGAAAATTACAATGTATAAAAATGTTGAACATAATGATGATGTGTTGTGCACATGAATCGGGTCCCTACTGCAAAGGTCAAGGTCACTTGTATTCCAATGTCTTGATATGAATATTTCATAAAAATGCAATGATGGTTGCATCCAGTCAACAATTCTGTCTTTCCTGTATGAATTTTGGAATAATCTGGCAGAAAATGTGTAAGACATGATGATGATGTGTCATGCTTAGGGGTCAGTTCAAAGGTCAAGGTCACACTTGTATGTCAAACATGATGATTGTGAATAGATTGTCTTTTGTGTATAGCTTTGACATTCAAAGACATTCATGTCTTTGAAATTATTATGCATGCATATGCTACTTAATAAGATGATTATGTAATAAACAACTCATATTTGAATGTTAAAAGATATGATTTGTAAGATATGATATTCAATGACATTTTTGTGATAAAAAATATGGTTCTTTAAAACAATTTGTGAGTTTGTAGCTTAGAGATCAAGGTCTAGGACTTTTTATAGGTTTATATTTCATAAAAGTGCATCGATTGTTATATCCAGTTATTAATTCTGTCATCCATGAGTGGATTTTGAAACAGTTAGGCATACTTTTTTGGCACATTAGGGAAACTTGTCACACTCAAACGCCAGGTCAACAGTTTAAAAGTTGAAGGTTACACTTGAATGTCATTTGTTTTAAGTTGGTCATATCTTTGTCATTCATTCATGGATGCTTTTTGAAATAATTATGCTCTTTGAAAATATAAAAAAGTATTTGTTTATGTTTTTGTATTCTTTTACCGTGTTGGTTAGAAACAAAACAAATCAATATTCAGTTTGCCATATTTGAATACATGTATGCAGTTTTTTTATAAAATTTACTAACAGTTGTTATCCTAACTTTTAATATTCCAATTCTGGTATATGAACTGATATTTTCAGCTCTGTATTGTTGAGCAACTCTCATTTGACATTGTTTATAAGATATATAGGAACACATTAAAGTCGTATTAACAAACAATATAAATGATTTCATTTAAATGTATGAATATATTTGTTGACTTTTATTCAGTGATATTGTATCATAAATGTACATGTATGAGAGCCATGCATACAGTGTAGTTCTGTACAAGCTAAAGCTGCAAAGTAGCCCTGAGCACATGAAGGTGCTTAAAATTCAGATTTGTTTGAGGACTCAAAAATTTTCTTCTCATTAGGGAAAAAACCATTCATGCTAAAAGGTCAACTAATACTTATAAGAAAAAAAATATTGCATTATGGTTTTTATTGTAAGTGCTCTTGAACTTTTGAATATCAGCTTGTTTACAAACAACAAAGATAACATTATATGATTTTACATTTTTACAAGTTGATTGTACAGGATGACTTATAATTTGATTGGTTTGCCTTTCCTTTCTGACAATATGATTATGCTAAAAACTGTTTACAGTGTTTTACATTTTATTATAAGTATATTTTATAATAAACTATATGATAATATATTCCTGCTATAAGTGTGGAGAAAATTTACATATGTTCATATATTTGATCATAATTCTGTACCATAAATTAAACACTTGTATTCTGTTCTTTTCATACATTACATGTCATTATGTATACAAGTAACTTGTAAACTGTTTTGTTTATGGCATGTAGCCGGTGTAGTAATAAAGCAATTGTTTCAATTGTAATTTACAAGGAAATAGTCATTTTCCAAAGCAGCAACATGACAATATGTTTTATAAAATGGTACTGATCAGTGATTTGTAATATCTACTTTTTTCAGGAGAGTATGAATTGTTGGAGAGGCTTTATAGTATGGCTAATAAGAACAAAATGTACCGAAGTTACATAGGTATCGGGTACTATAACACATATACACCTAACACTATCCTTCGGAACATGCTAGAAAATCCAGGATGGTAAGTTAATAACCTCATGTTTGAATAATGTTTAAGCTGTTTGTTGCACTATAAATTCTGAACTCCTTGAAAGACTTTAATCAAATTTTGCTTGAATTATCATTTTCAAATATAATGATAAATGGGCATACATAAAATTCTGTTCTCAATAATGATGAAGGTGTTCATCACATAGTTAAATAGTTGACCCTTCTGAAGAACTTAACTTAAAATGTTGACGACCAATAAAACTATATCAACTGAGTCATTTCCTTTACCCTTTCTGCACTGGTGTTGGTAATTTCAGCTTTATTCCATATAAGTTAGTTTGCTGTTACTCATTGTTAGTAATTTAATATTAAAACTCATTAATATATCAGTGGACAGTTCGAAATTCAAAGAAAGAAGAGTCTATTGTAACCATTCAGCATGTTTAATTTCAACAATAGATTGATTAATGTTTTTAGGACAACACAGTATACTCCGTACCAGGCAGAACTTGCACAAGGTCGACTCAACAGTCTTCTGAACTATCAGACTATGATATCAGATATGACGATGTTACCTGTTGCCAATGCTTCTCTATTAGACGAGGCCACAGCTGCAGCAGAAGCTATGGGAATGTGCTACAGGTATGTGGAGGCTTTGACATTGTATACATGGCCCACTTATTTAAGAGATCAATAGTCTTTTTATACGCCCGTTTGAAAAACGGGACGTATTATGGGAACGGGGCGGGCGGGCAGCGTCCAATTTTGTCCGGAGTATATCTCCTACATGTTTGGAGGGATTTTAATGAAACTTCATAGAAATGTTCACCACTATGAGGAGCAGTGTCGCTTACATGAACCAGGTCTCTAGGTCAAAGGTCAAGGTCACACTTAGAGCTCATTGAAAAATGCTTGTCCGGAGCAAAACTTCCACATGTATAGAGGGATTTCAATATTACTTGGCACAAATGTTCACCATTGTGAGGCGGAGTGTCGCGCGCAAGATTCAGGTCCTTGCGACCAAGGTCAAGGTCACACATAGAGGTCAAAGTTCAGATAAAAATATGAAAATGTGTATATGGACCATTTAGTCATCATTTATTGAGGGATTGTAACACAAATGGTCATTATCAAGACTATGGCTGTGATACATATAATTTAGGTCAATACATACAAGGTCAAGGTCACTAAAGATGATGAAATATCCAGATTTTGTCCGGAGCATATCTCCTATACGCATGGAGGGATTTTAATGAAATTTCATAGAAATGTTTACCATTATGAGAAGCCATGTCACGCACATGAACTAGGTCTCTAGGTCAAAGGTCAAGGTCACACTTAGAGCTCATTGAAAAACGCTTGTCCGGAGCAAAACTTCCACATACATAGAGGGATTTCAATATTACTTGGCACAAATGTTCACCATTGTGAGGCGGAGTGTCGCGCACAAAATTCAGGTCCCTGCAGCCAAGGTCAAGGTCACACATAGAGGTCAAAGTTTAGATAAAAATATGAAGATGTGTATAGGGACGATTTAATCATCATTTATTGAGGGATTGTAACACAAATGGTCATTATCATGACTACGGCAGTGACACATGTACTTTAGGTCAATATATGCAAGGTCAAGGTCACTAAAGATGGTGAAATATCCAGATTTTGTCTGGAGCATATCTCCTACATGTATGGAAGAATTTTTATAATACTTTATGGAAATGTTCACCACCATGATATGTATTGCTCCATGCATGATCCAGGTCAAAGGTCAAGGTCACACTTAGAGCTTATTGAAAAACGCTTGTCCGGAGCAAAACTTCTACATTCATAGGGGGATTTCAATATAACTTGGCATAAATGTTCACCATTGTGAGGCTGAGTGTCGCACGCAAAATTCAGATCCCTGCGACCAAAGTCAAGGTTACACATAGAGGTCAAAGTTCAGATAAAAATTTGAAGATGTGTATAGGGACCATTTAGTCATCATTTATTGATGGATTGTAGCACAAATGGTAACTATCATGACTACAGGTGTGACACATTTAAGTTAGGTTAATATTTGCAAGGTCAAGGTCACTGGAGATGATTAAATATCCAGATGTTGTCCAGAGCATATTTTCTACATGCATGGAGGAATTTTAATGTTACTTTATAGAATTGTTCACCACCATGAGACGAACCAAGTCTCTAGGTCAAAGGTGAAGGTCACAGTTAGAGCTCATAGAAAAACGCTTGTCTGGAGCAAAACTTCTACATGCATAGAGGGATTTCAATATAATTTGGCACAAATGTTCATCATTGTGAGGCTGAGTGCCGTGCATAAAATTCAGGTCCCTGCGACCAAGGTCAAGGTCACACATCCTGTGCATATCTTCCCTACTGATTTGTTTTAAGGTTCATTTAAAAACACAGTGCCAAGAATAAAAACTTGCTTGCTAGATAACACTTATCCATAATGCCCCCATCTCCATCTAAAGCTTTCGTAAACAGGCGTATTTTGTGACTATGGCACCCTTGTTAATCAATTATTTTCTTTAATTCACTGAAATGTTGTTATATTGGTAAAAATGGGAAAGGCAAATTTTAAGTTTATGCCATTAATATATAAATTGATTTTAATTATTTTGTTATAGACTAAAAGGTGACATAAAGTTAATATTTCTTCAATGGCAAAAAAGACAAATTTCACTATCTTGAAAATATAAAAATTCAAAATATTTTTTTTCTATTTTATCCTACACTTTTTTCCTGTGTAACTTGTGTAAACTTTCTTTGTACATCATAGATGATGCTATTAGTTTCTGATGCTGAAGTATTTATGAATATATATGTTTATAATACTTCAAAATTTACTGATTGGATCATTTGAGCTTCCCTAACCCTGTTATTGAGATAAAATATACATTGGCTCAAAATTAATGTCTTCTTCAGCTGTTTATAGTAAACTTGTACTCTCAGGTTGAATGTATCTTTTACAGACACAACAAACGCAGAAAGTTTTTCATAGATAGAAGATGTCATCCCCAAAGTATAGGAGTGGTTGAGACAAGAGCTAGGTATTTTTACATGTTATTGTACATCATTATTGTTCATTATACAGAAATATATGTCATACTAAACTTGTGTAGGATTTAAACTTTGAATAACTGTCATAGATTAAGTTTGTTGGGGAATCTTTTAGACAAGTTTACATGTAAACTTAGATAAAAGTGTCTTTGTGATAGAATGTGAAGTCAAGCACAACCAAAGTTCATGAACTAATGTCAGCCACGCTAGTGACAAAAGCTGTATGAATTAAGTCTTGTTTGAAATAAAACACTGATGGCTAATTCTATCCTTATTAATTATCACTAAAATTAAAATGAAACAAAACAGATGAACAAATATCTTGTTTCAGTGCTCTTGGTATTGAGATTGAAAGAGGAGATTGGAGGGAAGTTGTTCTTTCAAACCGAGACATTTCAGGTATACTTGTACAGTATCCTGACACTGAGGGAAACATTGAAGACTTCACACATCTTGTAGATGAAGCTCATGCAAACGGGGTCAGATAAATTAATTTAATTTAATTATACCATTACTTTTGTAAGAATACAAATTTTAAAAGAGCTGTCCGATTTGAATATTTTTATAGATTCTTAATGGCTCCTGATTTTCCTAATAATGATATTCAAGGTTTTACATGATACTTTCTTCTGTGTCAGATATGCATGAAATTGAAAAGCTAACAAATTGCTTATTTGCCTCCTAAGGGACACTTACTAACAAGGTTGTGACAATATGTTGTCAACAATTAGGGTCTATTCTTTAACAATGTGAAGCTTGCACAAGAAAAAAATGGTTTTAAATGATTGGGTTAATAAGTATCCCTGGTTACAGTATAGAAGCCACTTCAGCTTTTTACATTTGTATATCAGCTATATCAGCATCAAATCCTTTTACTGAAGACTACTTTAAAGCATGTGGAAATGTTATTAGAGACAGATAGCTTGGAGATATTTTTGGGATCCTTGATTGTTATGATGAGACCCCTGTTTTCTTCTAGTGCAAGTCCTAAATTTTGGACGTTTAAAACCCTGTATAATATTATCAAAATGTATACTTCAAAGAAATACTTTTAAAAAAATGCAATAACTGTTACCTTGAGGATGACTTTTGCATACTGGTTTTAAGTACTACAAATTTACTAGTGTGACAATGAATTGATCTTTATACATGTATGTATAATTTCAGACTTTAGCTGTATGTGCAACAGATTTACTCGCCTTAACTGTGTTACGACCACCAGGTGCATATGGTTTTGACATTGCTGTTGGTTCAAGCCAGAGATTTGGTATTCCACTTGGTTATGGAGGACCTCATGCTGGATTCTTCTCAACAAAAGATGAATTTGCAAGACTGATGCCTGGCAGAGTGATAGGTGTTACAAGGTATTGCATTTAAATAACATTTTGTCCGAATGTCTATGGTGATAATGCTAATTATTTGCTTTTACCAACATTATCCCAACAGGACAGCCTGCACATTCATAAAATGTGACCAATGAGGAAGCTTAATTATAGATTTTATTTCGAGTCCTTTAAAACCTGAAAAAAAGTTGATTTTGTGTATCTAGAGTTTTAGCAGTTAAATGTTTAAACATTAATTCCAAAACTTTTTAATCTTATCTACTGGATGTTAGTTTATTTTATTCAGCAATTTACAAATAAATTTTGTATAATAATAGAGATGCAGCAGGGAGAGAGGCATATAGACTTGCTTTACAGACTAGAGAGCAACATATCAGAAGAGACAAAGCTACTAGTAATATTTGTACAGCTCAGGTAATTATCTCATAGTCTTATGTACATGTTTCCAATTTACCTTTGATACTGCTTGTTAAATAATGTCTAAAATATTGAACCACTTACTAGCAATGGTGAGGAAACTTTCCTCTTAATTACTTGTTAGCGCTTGAAATAATGCAAGAATGGGCTTGGGATGTCTTCCTCCACTTGAAAAGTCACCATATGTCATTTACAGTGACTATATTAAAACCAAACAAAAAAGGGGTAGAAATAAGAATAAGCAAAGAAAATGTAAATGGTTTTATGAACAAGCTTACAGTCTTCATTAAAGCTCACATATAAATCTTAAACTTTACTCTTTTCAGGCATTACTTGCAAACATGGCTGCAATGTATGCTATATATCATGGTCCAGATGGTCTTAAACATATTGGCAAAAGAGTTCATAATGGAACACTAATACTTGCTGAAGGTAGAGGAAACATTAATGTTTTCATTGATTCTTGGAGATTAACTTTAAGTAATAATGGAACTTCTCTTTTCACACCATAGCATTTACCATAACAGTCATTTTTGCTGCAAAAACCTGACTTTCACAATTAAATAAAAAAAAATTCTTCACCTTGCTATGATGATTAAATCAAAATTTGCTTGATGTTGTTATATGTGCCAGTTTCATGGGAGATTACATCAAGGCAATTAATATTAGAAGTACTTAATTGGTATGATTTTGAGAAAATGAATCTAATATACAACAAGTACAAGAGTTCTTTCTGTATGTGAACTTTTTTAATTGTTGAACAATGTAATTGGTTCAAAATCTTGAAGCAGTATTCTGTGAAAAATAATGTAAGTATAATTTTACTTTAAGGTATTCGAAGGGCTGGCCATAACGTGCACACCACATTATATTTTGACACATTAAAGATCAGCACATCATGTAAACAGTCTGAGATACATTCTAAAGCTGACAAAAAAATGATCAACCTCAGATACTTTGGAGATGGTGATGTAAGTTTGTAATGATTTGTGCTTTATCTTGTTTTAATTTTTTTTGAGTTTTAAAAAATGTGCATACACCACATCTGTGCAGTGTAATAAGACTTTATAAAGTTAGCTGCTCAATTTAATTTTTGATATCAAAATCTTTGAACGTTTTCAGTCAACAGTTTGAAATTCAAAGGAAAACAAGTCTTTTAAAAAAAAAAACAGTGTATGGGCAAAGTTTGTTAAAAAAAAAAAAAAAAGTGTATGGGCAAAGTTTGCAGTGTATCAAGAAATCAATGATTAAATTATTTATTTTTTGTTGCTGACAGCAACCAGCCATACCTTCACAGCAACAGTATATATGTATGTCGTACAGTAGGGGTGTGGATCGTCGGGTAAGTGACGATCCAATCTATCAACGATTCAGCACATGCGATTCACAAATTGAACCACGAATCTTTTGTTATCAAGACACCCATAAAAACATGTACATACATGTTAATTTTTCTTAAAACAATACTTAACATTAATTTAATTATTCATTAAACATATATGCAATGCAAATATAAACTAGGTTGAAAGAGAGTCGCCCCAATATAGATCTAAAATCCCACCAGCAAAATTTACTTTCAATGAAAATGAGGAAAAAGCAGTTTGTAAAACATGCCATGGCAAATTGACTTATATAGATGGTACAACGAACTTGTCTAATCACATGAAAAGAGAAGTATTTTCAAAAATTGGAAGTAAATTTTGCTGGTGGGATTTTTATATTGGCGCGACTCCTTTTCAGCCAATACATGTAATGTCATACTGACATATTAACTTGCGTTTAGCAAATTTTGGATTCCTAAAAATAAAACAGTCTTCAATACATGTCACGTCATTACAGATCTATACATAGCGACTAAAATTATGTATTTGTTAATTTTCATTTGAAAACAAGTGCTCAATAAAGATAAAGTGATTCCTTTTTCGAAACTAATGACTTCCTAGCTCAGCATCGTGGTACATGTTTGTTTACTTCCTGTCTTTAATTTAAGTAAACGTCGCATAATTCATACACAAATTGATTTTTTTTACATTTAAAGTGTAAAAAACAGCGAATGTATAATAAACAAATAAGATCGCAATCCACGATCTCTGGACTGACGAATATTCGTACTCGATTTTTCATTTTGATTCGTGATTACCCGAGTACTTGAATACTCGCCCCAGCCCTATCATACAGTCATACTTGTATAAAAAATGGCTATAGCTTGATGAAATAGTATTGATACAGTGATGGTTTGGATTATATTCCAGGTTGGTTTGTCATTAGATGAAACTGTAGAAAGGGAAGATTTGAAGGATTTGCTAGAAATATTTGGATCCCCAGATTCAATGGTTAGATTTCAGAATCATTTGGTTTTTACAATGGTTGTCATTAGATATTTTATGTTAAGAAAATATAGATATAATTTTTAGCTCACCGGAGCATATGCTCAGGGTAAGCTATTAGGATCACTCTTCGTCCGTCGTCTGTCGTCCTTCGTACGTCGTCCGTTGTCCGTTCACACTTTTCAAACGACATCTCCTCTGAAACCATAAGGCAGATCATAATGAAACTTCACAGGGATGTTCCTTGTGTGAAGCCACAACAAAGTTGTTCAAAGAATTCAATTCCATGCAGAACTCTGGTTGCCATGGCAACCAATAGAAAAAACTTTAAACATCTTCTTCTAAAAAACCCAAAGAGCTAGAGCTTAGATATTTGGCATGAAACATCTTCTAGTGAGTGTCTACCAAGATTGTTCAAATAAAAGCCCCTATGGTCAAAATTGGCCCCGCCCCAGGGGGTCATTGATTTTCCCTATATGCATATAGTAAAAACTTAAAAAATCTTCTTCTAAAAAACCCAAAGAGCTAGAGCTTAGATATTTGGCATGAAACATGTTCTAATGGATGTCTACCAAGATTGTTCAAATTAAAGCCCTGGGGTCAAAATTGGCCCGCCCCAGGGGGTCATTGATTTTCCCTATATGCATATAGTAAAAACAAAAAAAAATTTCTCTTAAAGAACCCAAAGAGCTAGAGCTAAGATATTTAGCATGAAACATCTTCTAATCAGTGTCTACCAAGTTTGTTCAAATAAAAGCCCTGGGGTCAAAATTGGCCCCGCCCCAGGGGGTCATTGATTTTCCCTATATGCATATAGTAAAAACTTAAAAAATCTTCTTCTAAAAAACCCAAAGAGCTAGAGCTTAGATATTTGGCATGAAACATGTTCTAATGGATGTCTACCAAGTTTGTTCAAATAAAAGCCCTTGGGTCAAAATTGGCTCAGCCCCAGGGGGTCATTGATTTTCCCTATATACATGTAGTAAAAACTTAAAAATCTTCTTTTAAAGAACCCAAGGAGCTAGAGCTAAGATATTTAGCATGAAACATGTTCTAATGGGTGTCTACCAAGTTTGTTCAAATAAAAGCCCTTGGGTTAAAATTGGCCCTGCCAGGGGGAGGGGGGCAAAAGCCATTGTTTTTCATTATTTATGTATAGTAAAAACTTAACATCATGAAACATCTTCTAATGGGTGTCTTCCAAGTTTGTTCAAATAAAAGCCCTTTGGTTTAAACTGGCCCCGCCCTGGGGGCCTATGTACAGGTGAGCGACCCCAGGGCCATCATGGCCCTCTTGTTTAAAATTTATCATGAAACAACATTCATGTTATGGAAGTTAGAATTGCTTATTTTTACAGTAATGGAGTTGTGTCTTATCACAATGTAATTTATATGGGAAGAACTCCGGTTTTGCCATATATTGTCCGAATGTTTGTAGAGAGATTTTTTTTCCATCTATTAAATTATCTTGTGTGTAGATGAATCTAAATAATGTTATCAGAAACTCTATAGCTTTTTAAATGTTTTGTTTTTGTTTGTTTGTTTATAGCATGATTACACATAAAGACTTTAACTTATAGGAGAAGATAGCAGAGGATCTTGGTCCAGAACCCATTGAAAGCATAGAAAACACCATGTTTAGGAGAACAAATGATATATTGACACATGCTGTATTTAACAGGTAATCAACAATACTTATACATATATATCTGTTTTGGCTTAAAACTTTTCATCCAATTCATATTCTAGAACTTATCTTCAAGTAGATTAATGTATATTAAATAAAAGGGTATTTTAAATAATGTTAGATTTACATATTTTGCAGCTGTACTCTGAAAGAAAATTGATTACTATTCTGTTTATATTTTCATGAAATGTATATCCTTGCTGCAATAAAGTATTCTATTGAAAATTGGTGTCAGAGCGATGCCTCTATTTGTCATTTTATAAGATTTATGTCTTATCAGATAATATTTACTGTGCTTGTAAGGGATAGAATCTGCTTCTATTTTAAGATAACAGAATATTCAACATATGTCTATATATATAAAGTGTACAACCCAGCGCCTGAGGGGTTGTGGTGTCTAAATATATGTACACATGCTTAAAAAGCAATTTTAGTCATAATTATATAACTCATTGTCCAAGTGTAAACATTTTTTCTTCTGAAAAGTAAGTTTGCTGTTGTTGCGAAATACTGGTTCTTGTGTAAAAGCCAAATTTCAGTACTAGGTGACAAAATGTTTCCTAGGTTTTGTTTCCACTGCTTATCAATTATCCATTTTATAGTCAAAAAACTCGGCTAGTTAGATAGAAATGTTGGCTTTATTATCCAAACTGGGCCAAATGCTGAGATATACCAAAATGCCTACACAATATATATTTTTGTGAAGTTATATTTATATATTTATGTAATGTGAAGTTATATATATATATTTATGTATTGTGAAGTTATATATATATTTATGTATTGTGAAGTTATATATATATATTTATGTATTGTGAAGTTATATGTATATTTATGTATTGTGAAGTTATATATATATTTATGTATTGTGAAGTTTTTATATATATATATATATATATATATATATATATATATATATATATATATATATATATATATATATATATATATATATATATGTATTGTGAAGTTATATATATATATTTATGTATTGTGAAGTTATATATATATTTATGTATTGTGAAGTTATATATATATTAATGTATTGTGAAGTTATATATATATATTTATGTATTGTGAAGTTATATATATATATTTATGTATTGTGAAGTTATATATATATTTATGTATTGTGAAGTTATATATATATATTTATGTATTGTGAAGTTATATATATATTTATGTATTGTGAAGTTATATATATATTTATGTATTGTGAAGTTATATATATATTTATGTATTGTGAAGTTATATATATATTTATGTATTGTGAAGTTATATATATATTTATGTATTGTGAAGTTATATATATATTTCTGTATATTTGTAGGTACCAGTCAGAGACTGATATAGTAAGGTATATGAAACAGCTGGAGAATAAAGATCTGTCTCTTGTACATTCCATGATTCCTCTTGGCTCATGTACAATGAAACTTAACAGTACTACAGAAATGATGGTAAGTGATGTACATACATCACTAATTGATTTAAATGTTTATATTTTCAAACTTTAAAAATAAAAATTTCATTTTAATATGAAAAATCCTTAAAACATTAGAGGTATATAGACTTTGTTTAGTTTTGTAGGGCATTGGATTTCAATATGAATTTGTAAGCCTTAGTTAATGAATAAGATGACTTTATAGTCAATTTTGAATTTTTAAAAGTAAAACATTTTCTTATTTCTACATAGAGCATGTTGATTAAAATCATGATTCAGAAATATGTATTTGGTTATTCGTACTTATAAAGTAGTAATATTTAGACAAGTTTGGATGCCATCTTCTCAGTTACTATATAAAAGAATTGAAACATGCCAAGTTCAATATTGTACACATATTTTGATTTTATTTCAGCCAGTTTCTTGGAAGGAGTTCTCCAGCTTACATCCGTTTATTCCAGTAGATCAGGCACAGGGTTACCAGGAAATGTTTCATGAACTAGAGAGTGATTTATGTGAGATCACAGGCTATGATAAAATCTCATTTCAACCAAATAGGTAAAAACTAACAAAATACTAAAACCTTCTGGCATGTATAGATATGCTAAGAGCCGGGCCCCGTGTTCACAAAGATTTTCGGATCAGGATCAAGATCAGGATCAAATCTAAAAACTCAAAAATTATCCATTGTTAATTCTTATAGATTAGATGTTTAATATTAACTTGATAAAACTGGACTTGAAATAGCATGTTTTTAAAATTAAAGAATAAATTTATTGTAATTTTTGAAAGATATGGGCATTTTACAGTTAATCCAAATATTGATCTTGATCCTAAAATTGATCCTTATTTTGATCCCATTATTTTTGTATTTGTTTCGTTATTTGTCTATTTTATCCAAAAACAGGATTGTTTCTTTGCAAATCAGCAAAATATTACATTAACTTTATGTACCATTCAATTCTAGCAAAATACGATCAATATTAGTTATATAAAACATAGAAAATAAAATCAGGATCACTTGATCCTGATCCTGATCTTTTCTTTGTGAACACGGGGCCGGAAGTTTCTAAATTCTAATGACCACACGTATTGAGTGTGAGCGAAATAAGATTAAAATGTAAGATATATGGCATAGAGAGGAAATCTTTGAAATTGTTGTTTTTTATACCATGGCAGGTTTTCAACATTTTTAAATAATTTATACTGTAGAGTTCATTTAATTGTTATATTTCAACCATATTTTCCATGACTTCTGAACTGTTAGAAAAAAATGTGACTTGTAACTTTATTGTAAATTATTGCAATAATTTAGGAAAAATTGCTTGTTCCAGTTCTGTTACATTCACGATAACTGATAATAACTTGTTTTATAGTGGTGCACAAGGAGAATATGCTGGACTTAGAGCAATAATGGCATATCTTCATGCTATTGAAGAAACACAAAGAAAGGTTGTTATTTCTTTAATTATATAGTTTACAAAACTGCTCTAAATCATTCTTTAACAACAAAACATGCTATACATGTCTATATTTGTACTTAGTATGCTGTATATTCGCAAACAACATATACTTAGGTTTCATGATCTGAAATTTAAAAATAGATTTTGTTCAAAAGTTTTTTTTTGTTGCTTTTCCTTTTTTCTCAGACAAAAGACAAACAAAATAGATATCAGCTGTATTGGCATTCCAATGTTATGTTTAGATATGTGAAAGAAATGTAAAAACACTTTTAATAAGTTTCTTTGACTATGAACAATGTTTTATGTTTGTGAAGGATTTGTAGCATAGGATAGTCATTATAATAACACTTAATAGGCAACAACCATTAAAGTTTTATTGTAATTTTTAAGCATTAAAAAAATATCACCAATTATCAATACAGAATAGATGGAGACATAAGTAATGAAGTAATGACATTATTTATATACAGGTATGTCTGATACCAACATCAGCACATGGTACAAATCCAGCAAGTGCACAGATGGCTGGTATGAAGATACAGCCTATCAATGTTGACAAGAATGGAGCTGTAGATATGAAACATCTGGCTAAAAATGTAAACTTGATTTTATATTTTCTCTCCTTTTTGCTTAAAATTGAAGCTAAGGATCGTGTTTCCATTTTGTTTGGAAAGTAAGATTAGTTTTATGTTTTCACTTAGCTTTAAATATAAGCACAGTTTTAAGCCCCAGTTAAAAGAAAAAGTTGAGCTGTTATGATTGCTGCATTGTCGTCATTGTCAAAGTTTTTTTTAATGAAGCCCATTTTTCATATATTTTGAAAGGTATCATTACAAAACTTGGAATACTTGCTTATCATGACAAGGTGAAAATTTTTGTTGAAATTGCTTATAAAGTAACTATAAAAGGTATCAAATGAAAATTGGAATACTTGACTGTCATGTCAATGAACAGTTGTTAGACAAGGGGCATTATTTTGAAAGCAATACTTTTTCGGAGAAAGTTCCCTTTTAATCTTAGACTATCTATAAAAGATGGTTATTGATAGTTGTTGCTCTAATGTTTTAGTAAACTTGCAAATTAAGCTCAGTTTTCACTAAGTTAATAATGAAATCTTAGTTGGTACTTAATATTAGATTTAAGCTTTCAGTTTCCAGTGTGTTGATAGACAATACTATTGTAGACCAATAACAGTTAACTACCAATGTTCACATTCATGATGTGTAGATTTTAACCATATTAAATGAAAAGTTGTGTTATTTAGTATAATTAATGAACAATGAATGCATATGTGTTTTACAAATAACAAATTAGGACATTCATGTTTTGATGTAAAATTGAAACATTGTGTATTTCAGGTTGAGAAGTTTAAGGATACTCTTGCTTGCCTGATGATTACATATCCTTCTACTAATGGTGTCTTTGACAAAACTATTAGGTATGTTGAAACAACATGTTCTTTACAGTATTTCCTACACACAAATTCTACTTACAATCTCATTCTTATATTGGCAGCTGCTACAGTGATTACATTGTGTATTTCTGTAGTTTCCTTCCATAGCTTTAATCATACTTATGCCCTGCAGATGATGGAGGAATGTAGGTTTGGCATTATATGCCTGGCTGCTTATCTTTCCATCTGTCTGCCTGAACTCCATCTTGGTGATAACTCAAAAGTAATGGGAGTATCAGCTTGAAACTTTGGTCACCAAATATCAGAGGATAACAAAACTGTGCAGATTGACTGTGATGACTAAAACCCAGGATCCTTATAATACCTTTCCTTAGCTCCACTGACAAAATTTCCTGGCTGTTTACACATTTTCTCCCAAATTAGTGGACAGCTATACCCTGTGAAATTATTATTATATAAACATTTACATTTCACTCTTTATATATATGTGCAATTTTAAAAGTACTTTACATATTACTTTAAAATTTACAGAATTCAACACGAGATAAAGTAAAGAAGTATACAAATTACACTTAATCACTTTTATGAAACAGAACTTTTCATTAATATATTTCAGAGAAATCTGTGATACTGTACATAGCCACGGAGGTCAGGTTTATTTAGATGGGGCTAACATGAATGCTCAAGTAGGAATCTGTCGTCCTGGTGATTACGGCTCTGATGTATCACATCTAAATCTACATAAGACTTTCTGTATTCCACATGGAGGCGGTGGACCAGGGATGGGCCCTATTGGAGTGTAAATATATATGAGCCGCGTCATGACAAAACCAACATAGTGCGTTTGCGACCAGCATGGATCCAGACCAGCCTGCGCAGTCTGATCAGGATCTATGCTGTTCGCTTACCAACTCTATTACAAGTAGTGAAACCTATAGCGAACAGCATGGATCCTGATCAGACTGCGCGGATGTGCAGGCTGGTCTGGATCCATGCTGGTCACAAATGCACTGTGTTGGTTTTGTGGTGACGCGGCTCATATAGTTTTAAAATTGATTGTGTTGATACTACAATAGTCATAATTCAAGTATAGGATAGGGTAAGAAAGGAAGATATTACATCATTCATTTCTTTACTTGCTTTATTAGAATACATGTCAACAGAAGGACCTCAAAAATATTCTATATTAATCCAATGATACTGAACAAATAAAAATTAGTACTAATATCACAATGAAGAATAAAACATCTGCATAGTGACTGTTTTCCTGAGTTTGTCTTCGGACTTTACATTACATGAACATTAAAGTAGCAACTAGTTATTATATACATGTAATGATAATCATAAGCTTCTTTAAGATTGTAAGGTGGGTGAGACAACATTTTCAATATGTGTTTTGTTTTTTCATTTTGTCAACTCCCAAATGAGGCACATTTTAAATGAGAATTTAAGTTTTCAGTTGTCAAAATGTCAAGCAAAAATATATGTTAAGTTCATTAGATTGAAATTTCAGATAACAAATTCACATACATTAACATGATATTATTATTTTGTTACATAGGAAAGCTCATTTAGCTCCATACCTTCCCACACATCCTGTGATACCTCCTTATGGAACAGATAATCCTGAGGCAAAGGCTTTTGGTGTGGTGTCAGCTGCACCTTATGGATCTAGTGCAATTCTGCCTATATCATGGGCATATATCAAAATGATGGGAGCTCAGGGTTTGCGAGAAGCATCTGAGGTGGCTGTGCTGAATGCTAACTACATGAGTAGACGACTTGATGGTTACTATAAGACACTTTACAGGAATGAAGAGGGTGAGTATTACAATATTTTTAACTTAGATATTAGGAGGGTGAATGTTGCACTATTTTATAACTGTAAATGATTTATTGCAAGAAAGTATCAGTCAGTTGGCTCTGAGTCCCTGTAACTTGTTATGCCCCCCTTCGAAGAAGAGGGGGTATATTGTTTTGCTAATGTCGGTCTGTCTGTCGGTCGGTCTGTTCGTCGGTAGACCACATGGTTTCCGCTGATTATCTTGAAAAGTATTTATCACAAAGTCTTCATATTTCACATAGTGATTGGTCATAACTAGTAGATGACCCCTATTGATTTTGGGGTCACTAGGTCAAAGGTCAAGGTCACAGGGACCGTAAATGTCAAAATGGTTTCGGCTGATTATCTTGAAAAGTATTTATCACAAAGTCTTCATATTTCACATAGTGATTGGTCATAACAAGTAGATGACCCCTATTGATTTTGGGGTCACTAGGTCAAAGGTCAAGGTCACATGGGCCTTAAATGTCAAAATGGTTTCCGCTGATTATCTTGAAAAGTATGTTTCACAAAGTCTTCATATTTCACATAGTGATTGGTCATCACTAGTAGATGACCCCTATTGATTTTGGGGTATATAGGTCAAAGGTCAAGGTCACATGGGCCTTAAATGTCAAAATGGTTTCCGCTGATTATCTTGAAAAGTGTGTATCACAAAGTCTTCATATTTCACATAGTGATTGGTCATAACTAGTAGATAACCCCTATTGATTTTGGGGTCACTAGGTCAAAGGTCAAGGTCACAGGGGCCTTTAATGTCAAAATGGCTTTCGTTGATTTTTCCATAATTGAACACTTCCATGTACCCATTTTTGGCAAGTTTCTGTAATAAAAGTACCAATTATGTGAGTCAATGGCTAGAAAGGGGGGTATATGTGTCGTTAGACATTCTTGTATTGAAATTATGATTGTTGTTGGTAATTTAATTGATTCGCACTAAACATTCTAACATCTTTTCAAATTATTTTAAGTGCATGTTGATTCACCTTATAGACCGATTTCAACTAATTAGCATTTGTATAAATAATTGACACAAATTATTTTACAGGTTTTGTTGCTCATGAGTTTATTATTGACTGCAGAGATTTTAAGAAATCTGCCAATATTGAAGTGACAGACGTTGCCAAAAGATTACAAGATTATGGTGAGAAACATTACTTGTTTGCCATAAAAATCTAAACCATATTATAGAGGTACTGTCTATTAGATGAATAGTAGGTTTATCCTACTCCTTCATGTAATTTAATTAAATTATGATCATTTGTGAACTTAGAAAATTCATTGTGAGTTGGACTTTTTCAGCTCAACTGTCATAGGGCTTTTAGGACTTGGCTGTGTGTTGTCAATGAACATCTCTCAAACCTCAAGAAGTGCAAATGTTCTTTGCATGGAGCTCTACCAAGTTTGTTAAAATGTTTCTTGTCCATTGAATATCTGGGTCACAGAAGCTAAAATAGAATTTAAAAATGCTTTGCTTGCTATTCATGGCAACTGCTGAAGTAACAAGTTATTAAAATTCTCCACAAAATTTAACCTTTATATTCTTTACGTTTTCCGACTACAACAAAACTTTCCAGCATGGTAATTACTGAAAACCTGGCTTCATGACATCGCCATGTTTCTTGTCTGATGTTATTTTGATCCAAAATCAAATCAAGGATTCTAACATAACTTGTGATCTTTCACTATACACAAGATTTGAATTTTACCTTCATCAATTGATAATGTATTATAAGAATCTTATACCATTCATTACCAGCTGAAAATGATGTAATCATCAGCACACAGCTGATCTATACTATTAAATAAAGGTGACAAAATGATGTCATTTAAAGCTTGCAACTCGCCTTGCATGGGTGAAGATTGATTTATTTAGCATGGGTGGAGTGAAGATAGGGTTTATCTAACACAGAAGTAAATACTATAAAATTCTATCTTGTACATATAAATTTAATATAATATTTATATATATTTATAAGTTTGAATTGCTAAAAAATAGTAAAAGAATACTGGATGAAAATTATTTTAAAAATATTATTTCTTGGATAAATTGTATGACATTCTTATGTTTACTGAGGAAAGAAATATTGTAGGTTTCCATGCACCCACAACATCATGGCCAGTAGTAGGAACTTTGATGGTTGAACCAACTGAATCAGAAGATAAGGAAGAACTTGACAGATTCTGTGATGCTCTCATAGGTAATATATTTCTCTTGGTCAATTTCAGTCTCAATATTTAGCCTATTCCTTAAAAGTCTGTATGCATCTTGAGTTGTTCTTCAACATGTCTTCAAATTTCTATTTATTTTCTGCCAAATAAGGCTGATCAGAATTGATCTTCAGAAAAAGAGACCAAGTGAATTCAAAATTTGTACTTCATTTTTTTATTATTTTTTTTGGGGGGGGGGGGGGGGTTGTATCAACTTACAGAAACTTACATAAACAGAAATTTTATAGAAAAAAAAAGATACTGTAGCATTGGATTGTTAAGTTTGTAGAACATAATTATAACAGACTTATGACATAAAAGAATGATTGTGGTAGTAGTTTGTCAAACATAAATCATCTTTTGTCTTGATATTTTCACAGCAATCAGACATGAAATACAAGATATAGAGGAAGGGAAAATGGACAGAAAAATAAACCCTCTCAAGGTTTGTTTACCACTATTTCTGAAACATGCTGCTTTGTTATGCCCCCGCCATGTAATGGCCGGGGCATATAGTGTTACCCTGTTCCGTCATTCCATCCTTCCGTCCTTCCGTCATTCTGTCATTCCGTCATCATCAGTTTCCGTTCATTATCTTAAGAACGGTTGGGCACATTCAACTCAAATTTGACATATGGATATGTCATGAGAAAATACAGGTCAAGTTCGAATTTGGTCATGGTTCGATGATTTTTGGCAGAGTTATGCCCCTTTTACTTTGAAAATAATATGAAATTTCAGTTTCCGTTCATTATCTCAAGAACGGTTGGACACATTCAACTCAAACTTGACATATGGATATGTTATGAGAAAATACAGGTCAAGTTCGAATTTGGTTATGGTTCGATGATTTTTGGCAGAGTTATGCCCCTTTTACTTTGAAAATAATATGAAATTTTCAGTTTCTGTTCATTATCTCCCCAATGGTACAACACAATCAACTCAAACTTGACATATGGATATGTCATGAGAAAATACAGGTCAAGTTTGAATTTGGTCATGGTTCGATGATTTTTGGCAGAGTTATGCCCCTTTCACTTTGAAAATAATATTAAATTTTCAGTTTCCGTTCATTATCTCCCTCAAGGTACAACACATTCAACTCAAACGTGACATATTGATGCGTCAAAGGAATGCGCAGGTCAAGTTCAAATTTGGTCGTGGTTCGATGATTTTTGGCAGAGTTATGCCCCTTTTACTTTGAAAATAATATGAAATTTTCAGTTTCCGTTCATTATCTCCCTCAAGGTACAACACATTCAACTCAAACGTGACATATGGATGCGTCAATGGAATGCGCAGGTCAAGTTCAAATTTGGTCATGGTTCAATGATTTTTGGCAGAGTTATGCCCCTTTTACTTTGAAAATAATATGAAATTTTCAGTTTCCGTTTATTATCTCCCCAATGGTACAACACATTCAACTCAAATTTGACATATGGATATGTTTTTGGAATGCCCAGGTCAAGTTCAAATTTGGTCATGGTTCAATGGTTTTTGGCAGAGTAATGCCCCTTTCACTTTGAAAATAATATGAAATTTACAGTTTCTGTTCATTATATCCCAAACGGTACAACACATTCAACTCAAACTTGACCTATGGATATGTCATGAAAAAATACAGGTCAAGTTCGAATTTGGTCATGGTTCGATGATTTTTGGCAGAGTTATGCCCCTTTTTACTTTGAAAATAATATGAAATGACAGTGTTACATATTCAATTTTAATTTGACATATGGATATGTCAAAGGAATGGGCAGGTCAAGTTGGAATTTGGTCATGGTTTGATGGTTTTTTGGCAGAGTTATGTCCCTTTCACTTTGAAAATAATATAGATACATCTTAGGAATAAGCAGTTTAAGTTTGAATTTGGTCATGGTTCAATGATTTTAGACAAACTTATCTTTCCTGAATGTTGGAAAAATTTTGAACTTTCAGTTTCAGCACTCATTCTTTTAGCCATTATTTTGGCTACAAATATGCAATATGCTTTTTCTAAAGGTTAAGACTGAATAATTTCAGTGCCTTGAACGTTGTATGGAAATGGTTTGTGTTAACATTGAAAAGTTTTAAGGGCTTTGAACTTAAAATGAAAAAAAATAAATTAATGCACCATCTGAAATTTTGGCTGCATGCGGGGGCATCCGTGGCATGATGACACATTTCTAGTTATTTACATATTTCAAAATTCTATAATATTTTGCTTAATATTTTTAGCTCACCTTGCACAAAGTGCAGGTGAGCTTTTAGGATGGCCAACCAAATGGCGTCCGTCGTCAGTCGTCCGTCCACATTTTAAATATTCTAAGGACATCTTCTATGATACCGCAAGGCCAATGTTAATGAAACTTGGCAGGAATACTCTTTGTATGAAGCTCTATCAAGATTGTTAAAAGAATTCCATTTCATGCAGAACTCTGGTTGCCATGGCAACCGAAAGAAAAATCTTTAAATATCTTCTTTTAAAGAACCGTAAGAGCTAGAGCTTAGATATTTGGCATGAAACATCTTCTAATGAGTGTCTACCAAGTTTGTTCAAATAAAAGCCCTAGGGTCAAAATTGGCCCCCGCCCCAGGGGGTCATTGATTTTCCCTATATGCATATAGTAAAAACTTAAAAAATCTTCTTTTAAAGAACCCAAAGAGCTAGAGCTAAGATATTTGGCATGAAACATCTTCTAGTGAGTGTCTACCAAGTTTGTTCAAATAAAAGCCCTGGGGTCAAAAATGGCCCCGGCCCGGGGGGTCATTGATTTTCCCTATATGCATATATTAAAAACTTAAAAAATCTTCTTTTAAAGAACTGTAAAAGCTAGAGCTGAGATATTTGGCATGAAACATCTTCTAATGAGTGTCTACCAAGTTTGTTCAAATAAAAGCCCTGAGGTCAAAATTGGCCCTGCCCCAGGGGGTCATAGATTTTCCCTATATGCATATAGTAAAAACTTAAAAAAATCTTCTTTTAAAAGAACGCAAAGAGCTAGAGCTTAGATATTTGGCATGAAACATCTTCTAGTGAGTGTCTACCAAGTTTGTTCAAATAAAAGCCCAGGGGGTCATTGATTTTCCCTATATGCATATAGTAAAAACTTAAAAAATCTTCCAAAAATTGGCCCGCCACGGGGGTCATTGAGTTTCCCAATATGCATATATTAAAAACTTAAAAAATCTTCTTTTAAAGAACCGTAAGAACTAGAGCTTAGATATTTGGCATCAAGCATGTTCTAATGGGTGTCTACCAAGCTTGTTCAAATAAAGGCCCTGGGGTCAAAATTGGCCCCGCCCCGGGGGGTCATTGATTTTCCCTATATGCCTATATGCATATAGTAAAAACTTAAAAAATCTTCTTTTAAAGAACCCAAAGAGCTAGAGCTAAGATATTTAGCATGAAACATCTTCTAGTGAATGTCTACCAAGTTTGTTCAAATAAAAGCCCTGGGGTCAAAATTGACCCTGCCCCAGGGGGTCATAGATTTTCCCTATATGCATATAGTAAAAACTTAAAAAATCTTCTTTTAAAGAACTCAAAGAGCTAGAGCTAAGATATTTGGCATGAAACATCTTCTAGTGAGTGTCTACCAAGTATGTTCAAATAAAAGCCCTGGGGTCAAAATTGGCCCCGGCCCGGGGGGTCATTGATTTTCCCTATATGCATAAAGTAAAAACTTAAAAAATCTTCTTTTAAAGAACTGTAAAAGCTAGAGCTTAGATATTTAGCATGAAACATCTTCTAATGGGTGTCTACCAAGTTTGTTCAAATAAAAGCCCTGGGGTCAAAATTGGCCCCGCCCCAGGGGGTCATTGATTTTCCCTATATGCATATAGTAAAAACTTAAAAAATCTTCTTTTAAAGAACTCAAAGAGCTAGAGCTAAGATATTTAGCATGAAACATGTTCTAATGGGTGTCTACCAAGTATGTTCAAATAAAAGCCCTGGGGTCAAAACTGGCCCCGCCCCGGGGGTCATTGATTTTCCTTATATGTGTATAGCAAAAACTTAAAAATCTTCTTTGAAAAATCCCAAATAGCTTGAGTTTAGATATTATACATGAAACATTTTTAAGTAAATATCTACAAAGTTTGTTCAAATAAAAGCCCGGGGGTCAAAACTGGCCCTGCCCCAGGGGTGTCATTGTTTTTAACTATATGTGTATAGTAAAAACTTAAAAAATCTTCTTTTAAAAAACCCAATGAGCTAGAACTTAGATGTTTAGCATGAAACATCTTCTTATGGGTGTCTACCAAGTCTGTTCAAATAAACAAATAAAAGCCCTTGGGTAAAAATTGGCCCGGGGGGGGGGGGGGGGCTATATACAGGTGAGCGACCTCAGGGCCATCATGGCCCTCTTGTTTATATTTTGAAGTGATTAAATTACAATATTCATATTCTGTATGCATTTAAATTGTGTGTCTAGTTTCTAAGGGCATGTATTATCTTGTATCATGCATGAGATAACTGTTATGAGATCAATTTTTGAGTAAATCAAGTTTGTAGTGTTGCTAGGGCCATCCAACCTTCTTTTGCTAAAATATGATAATAAAAATCTTTTGTTTAGTTCTATCAACACTCAAATTTTGAAGTGGATAGGAAGTTGCATGGAATGTTTCTTGTCGGCAATTTCAAGACAAAAGTTATTACTATATAAATTTCAGATGGCCCCACATTGTCAGGAGGATGTTATTGCTGAAAACTGGGACAGACCATATGACCGTAAAACAGCAGTTTACCCGGCTGTAAGTTTATATATATTTAATCCAATGATGTTAATCTTCTTTTAATATGATAAGTGAAGAGAGTTGCTTGGGTGTTCATGAATTAATTATGTCTCCCCCACCTCGGGGGGAGACATATTGTTTTTGCCCTGTCCGTCCGTCCGTCAGTCAGTCCGTCCGTCCGTCAGTCAGTCCGTCCGTCCGTCAGTCCGTCCGTCCATTCTTCGTTTCCGGAAGATAACTAGAGTTCCTTTTGACCTACAGCCCTCAAACTTCATAGGATGATTGGTCTTATAGAGCTGATGATCCCTATTGTTTTTGGGGTCAAAGGTCAAGGTCACACTGACCGTTGGTCAATTTCTCGTTTCCGGATGATAACTAGAGTTCCTTTAGACCTACAGACCTCAAACTTCATAGGATGATTGGTCTTATTGAGCAGATGATCCCTATTGTTTTTGGGGTCAGTAGTTCAAAGGTCAAGGTCACAGTGACCGTTGGTCAATTTCTCGTTTCCGGATGATAACTAGAGTTCCTTTTGACCTACAGCCCTCAAACTTCATAGGATGATTGGTCTTATAGAGCTGATGATCCCTATTGTTTTTGGGATCAGTAGGTCAAAGGTCAAGGTCACACTGACCGTTGGTCAATTTCTCGTTTCCGGATGATAACTAGAGTTCCTTTAGACCTACAGACCTCAAACTTCATAGGATGATTGGTCTTATTGAGCAGATGATCCCTATTGTTTTTGGGGTCAGTAGTTCAAAGGTCAAGGTCACAGTGACCGTTGGTCAATTTCTCGTTTCCGGATGATAACTAGAGTTCCTTTTGACCTACAGCCCTCAAACTTCATAGGATGATTGGTCTTATAGAGCTGATGATCCCTATTGTTTTTGGGGTCAGTAGGTCAAAGGTCAAGGTCACAGTGGACCGTTGGTCAATTTCTCATTTCCGGATGATAACTAGAGTTCCTTTTGACCTACAACCCTCAAACTTCATAGGATGATTGGTCTTATTAATCAAATGATCCCTATTGTTTTTAATGGTCAGTAGGTCAAAGGTCAAGGTCACAGCGACCGTTGGTTAATTTCTCCTTTCCGGATGATAACTAGAGTTCCTTTAGACCTACAACCCTCAAACTTCATAGGATGATTGGTCTTATTGAGCAGATGATCCCTCTTGTTTATGGGGTCAGTAGGTCAAAGGTTAAGGTCACAGTGACCATTGGTAATTTTCTCATTTCCACAGTGGGGGAGACATGCGCTTTTTTACAAAAGCATCCTCTAGTTAGTTATTGTGTTGTATGTAGTTAAAAGGAAATTATATTAATAAATACCATTACTTTTCTTAGATTAAAAAAACCACATGATTTTTTTAACTCATTTTAAAGGGAAATAAAAACGCTAGTTTTGCTAGTATGCAGATTCTTGAGACTATTAACAGTATCAGAAAGATTGTAAAGTGGTAGTTGTACTTAATATATTAAAGAGTTTGTGTTATAATTATGCCCCCACTTCGAAGAAGAGGGGGTATATTGCTTTGCACTTGTCGGTCCGTCCCGTCCGTCGGTCCGTAGACCAAATGGTTTCCGAGTGATAACTAAAGAACCCTTATGCCTAGGAACTTCAAACTTGGTATGGTGATTAGTCATGGTCAGTAGATGACCCCTATTGATTTTGGGGTCAAGGGGTCAAAGGTCAAGGTCACATTGACCTCTTAGGTAGAAACGGTTTCCGATCAATAACTAAAGAACCCTTAGGCCTAGGGACTCTAAACTTGATATGGTGATTGGTCATGATCAGTAGATGACCCCTATTGATTTTGGGGTCAAGGGGTCAAAGGTCAAGGTCACATTGACCTCTTAGGTAAAAACGGTTTCCGATCAATAACTAAAGAACCCTTAGGCCTAGGAACTTCAAACTTGGTATGGTGATTGGCCATGATCAGTAGATGACCCCTATTGATTTTGGGGTCAAGGGGTCAAAGGTCAAGGTCACATTGACCTCTTAGGTAAAAACGGTTTCCGATCAATAACTAAAGAACCCTTAGGCCTATGGACTCTTAACTTGATATGGTGATTGGTCATGATCAGTAGATGTCAAGGGGTCAAAGGTCAAGGTCACATTGGCTTCTTAGGTAAAAACGGTTTCTGATCAATAACTAAAGAACCCTTAGGCATAGGACCTTCAAACTTGGTATGGTGATCGGTCATGACCAGCAGATGACCCCTATTGATTTTGGGGTTAAGGGGTCAAAGGTCAAGGTCACATTGACCTTGTAGGTAAAAATGGTTTCCGATCAATAACTAAAGAACCCTAAAGTCTAGGAACTTCAAACTTGGTATGGTGATTGGTCATGACCAGCAGATGGCCTGTTAATTTTGGGGTAAAGGGGTCAAAGGTCAAGGTCACATTGACCTTGTAGGTAAAATCGGTTTCTGATCAATTAACTAAAAACCCTTAGGCTTAGGAACTTCAAACTTTGTATGATGATTGGTTGTGACCAGCAGATGACCCCTATTGAGTTTTGGGTCAATGTGCCAAAGGTCAAGGTCACATTGACCTTGTAAGTTAAAACGGTTTCCGATCAATAACTAAAGAACACTTAGGCCTAGGAACTTCAAACTTGGTATGGTGATTGGTCATGACCAGCAGATGACCCCTATTGATTTTGGGATCAAGGGGTCAAAGGTCAAGGTCACATTGACCTTGTAAGTAAAAACGGTTTCTGATCAGTAACTAAAGAACGCTTAGGCCTAGAAACTTCAAACTTTGTATGATGATTGGTCATTGCCAGCAGATGACCTCTATTGATTTTGGGGTCAAGGGGTCCAAGGTCAAGGTCACATTGACCTTGTAGGTAAAAACGGTTTTTGATCAATAACTAAAGAACCCTTATGCCTAGGAACTTCAAACTTTGTATGATGATTGGTCATGACCAGTAGATGACCCCTTTTGATTTTGGGGTCAAGGGGTCAATGTCATATTGACCTTGTACTTAATGACAGTTTCTGACCAATTACTCAACAACTCAAGTTGCCTTGGTTGATATTTTTATATTAAACTAAAAATGCTTTTGGTATACACATTTGAAGGTCTTATGTAATATGACAACTTGGCTGTCATTAATGAGGCCTACATGATTCATAAAATTTATGCATATATTATTTGGTAAGATTTGTAATAACTTAAATTGCTGCACACAACCTATGGGGTCACAATAATTATTACCTTGTGACTTGTCATGACCAGTAGATACTAGATAACCCTTATTAATTGTTTGTTCACTGGGTCAGAAGTCATGCATAATAACCTGATCACATGACTAATTGGCTGCCGATAGGGGGCATACATGTTTTACAAACATATCTTGTTAATTGTTGTTGTTGTTTTCAGTATCATGAATTATTACATGTATAACTTATAGAATAATTTGAATCATTAAGTTTAGCAATGCTAGATTTCATTAAATTTTTTCTCTGTTTTGTTTCTAGGAATTTGTGACACCATCTACAAAGTTCTGGCCAACTGTTGGGCGTATTGATGACATTTATGGTGACCAGAATTTAGTGTGTACATGCCCCCCTATGTCTACATATGAATCTCCATTTGTAGATGATGCTAGTAACATTCAAGTGTCTCAGAAAACTTAAACTATATTATCAGGAAGGAAAGACGTTTTTATTTGCTTAAAGCTTTATCAAAATTTGGTGTGTCATTTTATTTTCTCCTGCCTATTTATGAACATACACCATACCGCTTAATACTGTTTATAGTGTGAATTATGAAAATATCGAATGCTAATTTGTCATTCCAAGTAAATCTGACATTACTAATTGTGAATTTTAATTTTCAATCTCAAACATATAAAATTTGAACATTTTTGTCTATTGTTATTATTTTTTGCCTCTTTAAGTGTTGTTATTATTATTTTTTATGCTTGTAGGAAAGTTTATTATTATTTATCTGACAAATTTTATCTGACAAAAAATCTCATTCTCATTTTTTCTCCACAAATGATTATCACATTTATATTATATTTTAAAAGCAATCTGTCATACAATGTTAATGAGGTAAAATGTTACTTCAGTAAATGGTAGATCTGTGTGTGACCAAGGTTACAATAGAAACAAGCTAGCACTGATTTGTCCAGAAATCTCATTAGAGAATGATTGGGAAAAAATGAGCCGCGTCACGACAAAACCAATGTTATGCGTTTGCAACCAGCATGGATCCAGACCAGCCTGCGCATCCGCGCAGTCTGATCAGGATCCATGCTGTTTGCTATCAGTTTCTCTACTTGTAATAGGGTTTGTAAGCGAACAGCATGGCTGGTCTTGATCCATGCTGGTCGCAAACCCATTATGTTGGTTTTGTCATGACAACGCTCAAATACTTTCTATGTATAATTATTACTTTATTACTGATCTGATATTATTTTTAATGAATCTGTAAAGGACTTTATGGTATACTTGTTACTTTCTTTTAGTTAACTTTGGGTTTGTATTAAGAATATTCTGCCCTACAGTAATTCATTTTGATCTCAATAATGTTGAAGTATCATGGTTATAACAATTTCGCATGATTATTTCTAATACCACAGTATATAAACGATTTGAACCCCAACCGGATCTTGTGAGAAGATTTTAGTGTCAGCCATATTCTGCCACTTCACTTGTTTACGATATTGGTATTTATATTGATACTGATGGACGTTAGGTTAGTAAATCTATATTTATATTATAAGAGAAAAACTTTATTAAACGTCTAAGTTATGCAAAACATAAACGTTAGCACGAAGGCTATAAAATAATCGAAACTCACGAACAGCTTTCAGGTGATCAAAACTGAACACGAACATAAATCCGTCTTATTCCAGGGTTGATTTAGTTAAACATTGAATTGTGATATTGAACTACTAAAGTAATCAATAACAAACGAAAATTTAGTCATATGCATAACATATTGCTGTACCTTGAACATAAATTTAAGAGTTTTACCAAGGAGGTCATTTCCGTAAACTGAACGTTACTTGCTGGTGATTGTGAACCCTACTTGTGAGTTTACGAATTTTATCTGTACCCTGACTTGTGAGTATTTATAAAGATTTATTGGAGAAAACGTTTACGTTCATTGTGATTTTGTATCAATTATTGCCAGAAAATATAAATGATTGTAATAGAATTTTAGTATATAAGGTATTTACCGAGAATTGGTTTAACTGATAATATTGTTAATCATTTGTGTAATAAAATATATAGTGCTATGTATATTCATGGAAGAATACAACTGTTCAGTAAAGACGAAGAATTTCAATGCCATTATTGACCACATAATTATTCGCCATCCAGACTGCAACTTGAAAATAAGAATAAATAATGATCAGAATAAAATTTCCTACTTAAAAAAATTCAGCGTCACAGCCAATAACGTAAACGAAAAAAAGAACCTTATAACATCAATAGCTAAAACACTGACAATTAATATTTTAAAAATTCACGAATTTTCACCGTTTAAAAAGATGCCAAAATTGTCGATGCCTATTCAAGATATACAAGAATAAAAGTCGTACATGTCAGAAATAGAAAGTAAATGAATTTCAAGCAGAATGAAATCAACGGTAAGTGTAAAGCTTTCAACATGTTGAAATAAGTAATCTGCAAAAATCTTGTAATGGTATTTCGAGGTTTATTGATACGTGACGTTATATAACGGTCACGTGAAAACTAGCAACAATGCCGTTGAACTAAATATAGAAAAAATATAGTACAGATGTAATATTTTAGCTTTATATCTTTCCAAAGAAAAATGAATGGTAAGTGAAAATGAGGTTTGTTAATTAATTATTCCTATCAAGAAATAATTGACTTTCTGATTCGTATAACCAGCCACTTCATGCTGGTATTTTCGTAGACAGTGAAAACATGACGAAGCTCCATTCATATGCAGTTTTAGTTACTTACAAAGAACTAAAACATGTACCCTTCTCTTGTGACACAATAACTTCATATTCTGCACAATAAAATTTGGAACATACGACAAAAACACAATAAAAATCATCAAAAGTGACTCGCAAGTAATGGTTCAGTGAAAACACAAGTAGGGTACAGATCATTAAAATTGTTTTAGCAAGACGGGTACAGTTATCGGAAATGTCGCCTCTATTATTTACTATGTTTTATCAATATTCAAAGATATTTTCACAAGTGTCTGTCCGGTAACATGAGGTTAAGATAATAAAGTAAAGATTCAGATATGAGTTAAAGTGAAGTAAAACAATTTTAGGCATAAATTTGCTTGTGTAATCGGCGTGTGTTGACATAAACAAAACATGAGGCGAAGAGCACAGCGTTTTATGCGCATATATTTTACGAAGAAGGTTATGGATGTATGTATAAGCAAAGATAAATTATTTCTTAATATGATTCAAATGTTAACATACAGTTACATATTAAATTCAAGCCGATATTTAATAGTTTAATGTGTCATCCCGCCTGATTGTACGTTTAGATTCTGAGATCTCCTCACAAGATCCGGTTGGGGTTCAAATCGTTTATATACTGTGAATACATGTAGTCAAACAGTACAGCATTGGGTGCCGGACATTCAATGGAAATTTGATACTTGCTATATACCAAAATAGAAGTTAAAATATATGTTCTAGTTGATACGTTCTGTTAAAATGTGTGAATGGGTTTTGTTTAGGAATAAGTGATCACAAATTACTAATAATTTTTACATTTATTGGGCATTGCATTACTAAGACTTTTAATTTCATAAAATAAAATGTGTGATACAGGTGGGTTTTTTTTTTACCTTCTTTTATTGTGAAACAAATATATATATATTGCATTGTAAAATAAAACTATTATAGTCTGTATTTTCATTCCCTGTAATTGATTTGAAAGTTACCACTTTGATTGCCTTTATCAATATCATATATAAGCTGATGTTGTCATCACTCTATGCATTTGTTTGTATGTACTTATCCTAATGATTATTATATTTTACATTGTACTAGAGTGTTATTTATCTCTGTAAGAGATTTTACAAAAACTGGTTGCATGTGTATTTAGGGTAATATAAGAATTATATGAATAGTTTGTAATCCTGATACATCTTTGTTGTCGTCTATATTAAACGATTTGTGTGAATAAACACTTAGCAAAGAAAGTAAATCTTGTTGAATATTAATTATAACATTTCTTTGTACCACATGGCTTAATTTTTGATGATCTGACCTGAGCACCATTGGCTCAAAGTGATCGAGCTGTTGTGATCGCCTGGTGTTCATTTTGTACTTTTGTCTGAATGGATGGTCAGTAATCACCATAACAACCTTGAATATTCTAAAGACTAACCACTGAAAGAGACAAGTCTGCACTGAGTCTAGAGAGCATATTATATTACACAACAAATTCATTGTCCATTGCCAACATTTTTACTTCACCCAGTAGTGATGAAACTGTACAGGAATAATCCTTCAAATGAACAATGTGGCTGTTGGAGCTAAAAATAGGAAAAATCTTTAAGCAACATTGTTTTTACAATCAAAGAGTAGAATATTATGAAAAACTACAAGAATGATAATTAGTTGGTCCTTTTGATAACTGTTAAATAGATATCCCTCCTCAATCATGATGCAGATTTTGATGAAAGCTTACAGGACTGATTGATTTTGTCTGCTGAGTAAGATTGTTGAGAGTTAATAAGCTTTAAATGGCATTTCAACAGCTTGCTTGAATTTGATGAAACTATGCGAAAGGCCTTTGAGTGGTCAAAATCATTCCAGTCAGCTGAACATGATGTGATAATACTGTAAAAATAAAAAATACTATTAATTATGGACTTATTTTTGCTATTTAAAAAGAAAATGAACTTTGGTGACGAATAGATAGATATAATCCGCAAAATATTTTGTGATGGATAGGTCCTTAAATCGTTTCAACTTCCTCACTTGTTTTAAAATTACTGAAAAAGTGTCTCAATTAATAGGGAAGAGTAGTTGCTTGAAAATTTCAGATGAAAGAATGAGCCCTTCAATTGGAATAGGAATGTTCATCCATTTTTATTTGGACACACAAAACTGAAAACTCACCAATTGTTTCATATACATGTATCTATGCACTCAACATTAGATGAAATAGCAAATTACAATCAATTCCAAAAAAGCATCAGGAAATTGATAATGATCACCAAATTTAAAAACAGTCCCATTGACTTTTTATTTGAATGGTTTACATTAGGCAGCTATCGTATGTTATATAGTTTATATAGAGGTGGCGCGATAGCTCAGAGGTGGCGCGATAGCTCAGTTGGTTAAACCACTGACTGTCACTCCTGAGGTCCCGGGTTCGATCCTGGGTTACACCCTTGGGATTTTTCAGAGACACTTTCAGTGTTTCCCACCTACATAGAGGTGTACTGGTAAGAAATCCAGGAAATCCTCGCATGTATCAGTGCTATACACTGGGCATGTAAAAGAACCAAGGGGTCTATTCAATAAGAGCTAGGGACTGGTTCCCGGATTCCCTTGTATCTTAAAGCTGTTTCTTAAATGTATACAATGTATACCTGCCTCTAACACTCGTAAGAGGGGTTGGCAGTATCCAGAGATAGATAGTATACAATACTGATCAGAATGGCATGCACAGAATTGTATTAAACAAAGAGGTATTATTTGTCGAAAACCATGACAGATAAAATTTTGCTTAGTGTGTACATGTCATGGGTTGTTTATATATCTGTGGTACATGTACAGTACATTTGCTTAAC